GAATTTTCACAATTAAAGGCAGCTTTCCTTTTTAATTTGAGAAAACGAATCTTTTTTTTTTCTTTCATGAACGAAAAAAGTTCACTAATCAAGCAACTTGTGCAAAAAAAAACTTGAATATAGAAATAGTATACTACTGTTGAAACTGATACAAAAACACAGATAATTACTTAAAACACATTACAAAAATTCTAATACCAACAAAAGAGACTATATTTAGAATCTTCTAAGGTTTTAATCGATAGTTTAGTGTCTTTAAATCTCCTTTGCACGCTCATGATGATAATTTTTAAAGTTGTATCAGTTTTTCCTCATATAATATTATAAACTCTCGCATTTCTAGCTTTCCAAACAAAATAGATATATGAACACCAAACAATTCGTAACACAATCACGCCAAATTTCTTCTCATGTAAAAATTATCTAGCTATTAAAATTCATCATTCAATTCAAAGAACACACTTGCCGGTTAATGCTACAAAAAAGCATAACTTGTTGCCATACATATTTTATTACAGCACATGTAAAAAAATATGATCTCTATTTTCATCTGTGAAATTACATAGGTCACATTTATTGTCAATCACTATTCTCAGCTTAACTTGCCTCCACTTAGTAGTTAATCCATCGAGGATAGCTAGAATGAAGCTATGCTTGGGATGTGAAGGGGTCTCCATGATAACTTATACCAATTAACAATTCTATTCTACTTCATTGTAACTTCCCACGTACTTTTAGCAGAAAATTGACCATAAGGAATGAGATTCCAAAAAACAATAGCTCCTTGAATGTCGTTGGCCGACGTCGAATGGGACTTCAAAAAAAGCATACTCTGAATAAGCTTCATTTGATTACTTCTAGCAGCAAGTTGCTTCCAATCATCATCGTGAATTACTTATGCTAGCATTGCATCTGTGGAAATCCTTGTATTCTTCATGATTCCTTGCCCATAGTGTTTAACCAATGGATCACAAGGATGCCAAGGATCCCACCAAATGAAGATATTTTTACTATTTCCCACGATATATGAAATAGAATTTCAAATAATTTGCTTGAGTTTTAAAAGTTTCCTCCAATTCCATGAGTACACAAACTTCTATCCTTCAAATATCATTCATATACTTCTTAATTAGTACCCTTTACTAATACTCTAAAGCATAAAGTATATTCACTGTACGTTTCACTGTTCAATCAGCAGTGTTTTCTAGCCTTCCTTTTTTTTTTGGTAAAGCACGTTATTGTTTTTTTTTCCCCTCTCCCGGCTTTTATTCCACTTTTTACAAGCAAGTTTTTTTTTCTTTTTTATATACATTTTTTTCTTTTTTTCCCTTGCTTTTTTTTTTTTTGCCCCATCAATTTGGGTTCTTTTTTATTTAACTTCTTAAAATTTTAAGGTTTGTTTTATTTTGATCTCTAAAATTTTAAAATAAAAAATTTAATCCCCTAACCGATGCACTACACATGGTTTTTTCTTTGCTTTTTTTCATCAATTTATATTATTTTTTATTTAATTAGGTGTTAAAATTTTAAAAAATCAATTTTGCTTTTTTTTTCCCCCTCAATTTATGTTCTTTTTTTTATTTAATTAAGTGTTAAATTTTAAAAAAATCAATCATTATTTTTTTTGTACACAAACTAACTATTATATAATCTATATGATATTTTTTACATTTATATGTTTCTTTGCTTTTTTTCATCAATTTATGTTCTTTTTCATTTAATTAGGTGTTAAAATTTTGAGAAATCAATCGTTATTCTTTTTTTACATAAAGTGACAATTATATAATATATATGAAGTTTTTTACATTTATATGATATGTTTTAAGATTTTAGAATAAATAAACTAATATTATTGTTTAAAATTGATCTTTTCAATAAAAATTCTCAACAAGTTAATTTTTATTCTTATTTTTTATATAATTTTATTTATTAATATATATGACTTATTTTCTCTAAGTATGGTTTCAAATAAGTTTTTTTTTGTATCTGTTTTTATTTGTTTAATTTTATATAATCAAATTTTAAAAAATTGAATATATGTATTTTATTTTTTTATTTTTTATATAATCAAATTTTATCGAAATCAGTTTTATAGTTTTTAATGCACTCTATTAACTTCAATATATATTTTACTATTTAATTTTTTAAAAATACTTTTCAGTTTATTTTATACATTCTCACTAATTGAGTGATGTATAAAAAATAATAATATTAGAGTCATTGAATTTATTAGAAAGCAACTATGCATCTACACACATAATACCAACTATTTACTATTATTTTTTTAATATTTAAAATGATTTTTTCAAATAAAATAATTGAAATAGTATTTTAGAATAATTGCCTAATAATTCAAATACAATTTTGTATACTAATATTATTCATTATTTTGTAAATAAATATATGTAAATCAAATGTATATATTTTAAAAAACAATCTTCTCATTAGTAAAAAAGTTTCATTTGTTAATTTTCATACAAGTTTTTATATTAATTATTGTTTTATTTCTTTGATGCAATATAATAAAAAAAATATGAAGATATTTTTTTCTAAATTTTATATTAAAGTTTGTTTATTATGGGTTTTCATACACACACACACACACACACACACACTATCTTTTTTACATTTTAAAATTAACATATATTTCAGTTTATATTACTCTTATAATTTAAATTTCATTCTTTGAATTTATCATTTCTTATGAAAATTCTTATTCAATTAATATTTTTTATATAAGATTTTATTTACTGATAAATGTAATTTATTTTTCTCTATGTTTGAATTTTAGAATAAAATTTTAAGACATGATTTTTTTTCTTTTTAAAAAATAAATTGGTGTAATATATATCATGAATTCTTACAATTTTTAAATGATATTTGCGTATGTATAAATATATAATTATTTTATTCTAAAAAGTTAAAAGTATATTTAAAATAATTTATCTCAATTCACTAGATATGGTCAAGACGTATAAAAAAACTATTGAACCAGTAATTTTATTTAAAATTAACTATATATCTTCCAACCTAATACAAAATATTTAGCATGAATATTTTTTAACATTATAGAATCAATTTATTTGAAATAAAACAATTAAAATAATGTTTTAAAGGAACTAACTAATTATTCAAATACAATTTTTATGCTAATTCTATTTATTATTTTGTATATATACTTGAAAAAAATAGTCTTCTCACTAATAGCAAATAAAGACAAAATTTTATTTTTTCATTCGTTAATTTTTATGCAAATCTATACATTAATTGTAACTTTTTTTTTTGATACATTATTATAAAAAATATATAGTTTTAAATTATTTGCTTTTGAATTCTTAATTAATATGTAAGGTTTAAATTATCACAAGTTTTTATTTAATAATTTCTGAATAAAAAAGAATAAATCATGTTTTTTTGAGCATAAATTTTATGAAAAAAATTGTAATAATTAAATAAAAAATTTTAAAATTTTAAAATGATTTTGTTCTATCTACCCGTGGCGTTGTGCAAATAATTTAAAAAATTATCTTCTCATAAATATTAAATAAGAATTTTTTTCTCATTTATTAATTTTTGTAAAAGTCTATCATTAATTATAAATTCATTTTTTTGAATACAATATTATGAGAATTATATTTTAATTTTTTTTAATTCTTGATTAATATTTTATATTTTAAAATCAATTCATAAAGAATAATGATTTATGTTTTTTAAGCAAAAAATTAAAAAATTAAATGAATAAAAAATTATAATTAAAAAATTTTAAAATTTCTAAAATAATTTTTTTATCGGATCCGCAGCATAACGCGAGCATGGGACTAGCACTATTTAAAAGGTGTCTATGTTTTAAGAAGCTTGTGCAACATGCTGTGTTAAGTCTCTTTTAAAAAAATTAATTGGTGTTTCACAACCATACATCCTGTTAATATATATATATATATATATATATGATTGTTATTTTATAATTGTGCATTTCATCGTCAAAAACGTGTTATCATGTTCAATGTATTATCAAGAACGTGGTATCAAGTTTAATGCATTACCATGTAGAACAAAAATAATTTAAAGCGATTAAAGATGCACACTTCATTTCTTAATTTTTTGGATTCAAATATTAGAGCCTATATATATATATATATATATATATATAAATTATTATTATTTTTTAACGTATTAAATTGATATTGGAGATGTGCTTTTGAGATCATATGAAAAAAATTATTCTTGATTGATGTAAAAGTTAAAAATATCCTTTACTGTCAAAGAAAAAAAGATTTAAATTCCAAATAAAATAATTCGATACAAAAACGAATGTTATTTATTAATCCACATTCTATGCAGAGACTTTAGGAACGTGATGAGAGGGGCATATCTCCTCCAAAAATTTCAAATTTCCATTTATTCTTTTCATTGACATACGTATTAATCTCCAAAAATTAAGATTAATTATAATAACCCGTTAAGATATTATGATATTATAAAAATTATTTAAAAATTTATATGTTTGACAAAACTCCATTCAACATTAAGAAATATTGTAGCAACATTATTTACACGCAAACTACCATGTTTATAAAAAAAAATGTCCTTACTAAATTTATTATTTTTATACACCAGCTATTATAATTATTTTGATAATATGATTGCAATCTACAATATTAATAGATTGACCCGGTTCGGGGATTTAAAAAACTTGGAAGATGTGTATAGATGTTGGATTTGATCATGATAGTGTAAAAGATGATTATGATAGTTTGTGCTTTCTTTTTAAAAAACAAAAGTGCCAATACAAGAGACTTTTCGCATTTATGTGCAGTTGCTACAAACAACAGTATTCCAAATGATAACTAAACGCTAACCAATCGTTGTTCTTTAGTTTAGTTTTTTTTTTTTTTTTTGGCGTTAATCTTGAGATGCTACACTATTAAAGTAATTACTTATCTGTGTCTGTGACCAAGAGAAAACAAATGTAATTAATTAAGCATTTGTGACCAAATAACGTTATCGGTGTCTGTGACCAAGTAACCGCAATTTGTCTCTTTACTGACGGTCAGTGAGTCACCGCGTGGTTGTTCTCCAAGCCAGCTCATGCAGCTGTAAGCTGTTGATTCCAAAGAGCACTTACGATCAATGGCTTTTATTTTCGTTGCCCGTTATGATGTTTGGGCCCATTGTCAATCTTTGAATTCAAAGCCCACCTTTTCTTTTAGCTCACTGTTGGACGGGCGCTTTAAGACGTTGGATCCTCTTTTCCACCAACGTAATCTATAAAGTTGTAGATTGTGGATTTCTGCTCAGAATATCTGGACCCATTAGCAACTAAACATGATTAATGCTACCTTTCCCTCCATGTTAATTTGACAGCGATAACGCTCCTGTGTTTACCGAGATCGTCTCTCATCGAAGTTATCCATAATTTAACAAAAAACATTTTATGCTAATTACCTTTATTGTTTTTCGTTAATGATGGATGCATTGTGGTATGGATGACCTAATTTCATTGCCGAAAGTCCTCGAAATTATATTTTGGAGCTTTTTCTTAGCTACTGGATGTAGGCTAAGCGAGCTCCATGCAAGATCAAGAGTAAATAAAGCTCACTCATTTAATCAACCAGCAAGTTTGGGTAGATTTTTCCTTATATTGAACAACATCATTTTTTGTCGAGTTAAAATTGATTGGTTTGATTCAAATTAATTGCTACATTGATTATTTAACCCACCATTGCATTAATTAATTAATTAACTGTTAAGTAAAGTTTTTGATGCTAATCAATTGGATTATTGGTATGGTATGCTGATAAGGAGTCTACATTTTTCTTCAAACAAAATTTCTTTAACAAAACTAAAGTGTCTCTTTGAACGAGGTTTCATTTAAATTGGTACATTCATGAGATTATTTTTTTTTCTATTTCTATATAGAAGAGAAAGTAGAGAATAAACTCATTTATCATACAAGCTAAATAATTGAGGATGTGTTATAATTTTTAATTTCAACAAACTATAAAAAAAGGAGATATTATATGGTTTGACGGCAAAAATTGCCTAAAAACTATTGAGTTATGATAATTTGAAACTTTTACTACAAATTTTAGTTTTTTTGGACATTAAATTAATCATCTTTTAGACAAACATTGACCTTTAACTTAAATGTTTAAGTTACATTTAGATATTTTTTTTATTTAGGCAAAACATCCCAAAACGATTGGGGTTATGGTAATTTAAAGTTTTATTGCCATTTTAAATTATTTGAATCTTGAACTATTTTTTTTCATCAAATATTATTCTTTCTTCATTATTTTTAACTTTCAAAACATTGATTGTTAACGTGAATAATTAAAGAATGTTGTTTAAGCATTTTGTTTTTTTGACAAAAGAAAATTAATTCAAACAAAAATATACTAATGGTTAGAATGTATAACATGTTGTCTTGATATGTCACAACATGTTATCCTAAGGCACTATGAAATTAATTAAACTCAAAAGAGAAAGAGGCTACACTATTAAAGTATTATTGAGATTGCTTATAGAAATAAAACTTTTCTATAACAACATTTTAAGTTCGATTCATGTCTTTTTTTTCTCTTTATTCTTAGCTGTAAATTCTTAGTTCGATCGATTCATGACTCTCTTTTTTCTATCTATTCAGTTAAGTTAACTCAATTGATTTAATAGTGTATTAGAACGATATGTCATGACATATTAAAATGATATGTTGTTTGTATTAATTATTATTATATTTTTAAATTATTTTTTTTACAAAAATATATAGAATGCTTAAACGATATTGTTTAAGCATTTTTAACGATTAATGCTTTGATCGTAAAAAATAATGGAGTAAAGATAATATTTATTTTTTAAAAACATACTATTTTAAGGTCCAAATAACCTAAATTGATAGTAAAAACCTTAAATTACCATAACTCAAACAGTTAAGGTGTAATTTTTGTTATTATATTTAAACATTCAAGTTAATCGTCAATATTTTGACGAGTTAAAAATAACGAAAAAAAAAACAACATTTAAAAAAAAATAATTTGAAATTCAAATAATTTAAATTGATAATAAAAATCTAAATTATCACAACTCTAATAATTTATGGATAATTCAAAAGATAATTTTTTTCCAAATAAACATAATGTGATTTTGTTTTTCAAGCAAATCATAGTGGAGAATGTGGCACACATTTTGACTCAAAACTTTTGAAATCCGTTGGGGTCAAATTTTAAATTCTAAAAAGTGAAGGCCCACTCCCTAATAAAATGCAAATTCAAATTGAAAACGAGCGGGCCTAACTTCATCCACTGCTGCTCGTCTCTCGCCAGTCACCACCACCACTCAACTGCTCCATTCCACTGAGCTTCAGCTTTCAAACTTTACTCCTCTGACACCACCTTCTCATCACCAACAATCACAAAAAAGAAACTCTTGAAAAACAAAATTATGAGCTCAATTTTACATTTTTAAGCTTAAAAAAAATGTCCAGCTCAAGACTCAACACAGCTCGAAATCCTCACTCGAAAAATCAACAAGAAGAACCTTCAACAAAAGAGAACGAATTCGAAACCTCTCTGAATTCTTCAGTTCACTTTCCGCCGCCGCGAACACCATTAAATACGATTCCAGATCCAACTCAGTGTCATAAAGAAACACACGAGTCCGGTTTTGATAGTAAACACGAAACTACTCGATCTGGTAGATTCTCAACTGGAAATTACACGAGCACCCCCAGGGTTTTGACTCGCCATGGAAAAGCAGCACAATCCGAGCCTAACTCTGCGAATAGCACGCCAGCTAGGAGTGGCTCCAGAGCCTCGCTCGGTGGTGCATTGGGAGGATATGCGAGCGGAACTAGGAGTATGCAGTTTAGTAAAGGGAAAGATGTGAGTTTTTTAAGTTCTAGGGTTTCCAGAGGTATTTCGGTGGCGAATTCGGATTTTTCTGTCGAAGTTCCACATTTTGAGCTCGATGAAGATCCTTCATTTTGGAAGGATCACAATGTGCAGGTTTGTGTATTTTTTTTTTTTGGAGAAATCTTAAAGATTGTCTTGATTGTCGTGGATTTAATTTGAAAGTTTGTGTTTTGTTTAATTGGAAATTTTTGCGGTTTAGGTTTTGATAAGGATTAGGCCATTAAGTAATATCGAAAAGGTTTCACAAGGGTATGGTCGATGTTTGAAGCAAGAGAGTGGACAGACATTAGTGTGGCTTGGTCATCCTGAGACTAGATTCACATTTGATCATGTTGCTTGTGAGACAATTTCACAGGTGATGTTTGGATAGCTGGTATTGACTAATGAAGGATTTTTGTTGTTCTGTTTTTTTCTCAAGCTATACATGGTACGCTGCGTGGATCTTATTCCTGCAAATTGCTTGATTTTGAATTACAGGAAAAGCTATTCATGGTCGCTGGACTGCCAATGGTGGAGAATTGCATGTCTGGTTATAATAGCTGTATGTTTGCTTATGGTCAGGTAAGTAATATCTTGTTTGTCAATGCAGGCATGCAAAGGCTCAGTGAGAAGGCTGATGTTCGGGGTTGGAGGGGGGGGGTGGTTAGACTAATTCTGATGTTTAATATGCTGTCTCGCAGACTGGTAGTGGCAAAACATATACCATGATGGGTGAGATAAATCAGGTGGAATGCAAGCTTAGTGCAGATTGCGGGATAACGCCTCGTATATTTGAGTACTTGTTTTCAAGGATTAGAATGGTATGCTAATAATTATTCTGCAGCCTTTTTGTCCATGAATTTTGGGGGGCAGGATATTGATGGATGATTGTATTAATATACTATATTTTTAGGAAGAAGAGAGCAGAAGGGACGAAAAGCTGAGGTTCAGTTGCAAATGTTCTTTTCTGGAGATATACAATGAGCAAATAACAGATCTCTTGGAGCCGTCATCAACTAATTTACAAGTAATTTCAAAATTTTAATCTGATTTGGGGCCAGAATCCTATACACATCTGCGTGTAATAAATCCTCAGCCAAATTTTTTCCATTGTAGCTCAGAGAAGACTTGAATAAAGGTGTATATGTAGAAAACCTCACGGAATATAATGTGAGGACAGTTAATGATGTCATCAAGCTTTTGTTACAGGTGACTCTATTTTGTGCCTCCATCATCATTCACTATGCATTTCATGTTTGCATGGGCAATTAATTTTATCTATGTCCACACTACGCAGGGTGCTGCAAATAGGAAAATGGCAGCAACTTATATGAACAGTGAGAGCAGCCGTTCCCACAGTGTTTTCACTTGTGTCATTGAAAGCTGGTGGGAAAAAGATTCCATGAACCACTTTAGATTTGCGAGATTAAATTTAGTAGATTTATCTGGTTCTGAAAGGTAAGTCGCTCTTTTTTACCTCCCTCCTTCCATTTCATGTTTCCATAATGCTGGCTGAGTTTTGAATTTGTTAGGCAGAAGAGCTCTGGCGCTGAAGGAGATCGTCTGAAAGAAGCAGCAAATATAAACAAATCCTTATCAACTTTGGGGTAATTCAATCACAGGCCTGTTCCCCCAGTTTATATGCGTAATTAATTTGCCTGCATTGATTGGTTATTGTTTGCTTTTAGCTTGGTGATAATGTCGCTGGTTGATTTAGCGCATGGAAAACACAGGCATGTTCCCTACAGAGACTCTCGGCTAACATTTCTACTTCAGGTTGACGAAATAAAACTCTTGAACTATGATTCTGCCTAGTTTAATATGTGCTGATCTTTAAATTTGGTATGTAAATGTAAAGCGGTTATATCAGCATCTTTAAATGCAGGATTCTTTGGGTGGGAACTCCAAAACAACAATTATTGCGAACGTCAGTCCATCAACATGGTCTGTCTTAAAATCAAATTTCCTATAGCTTGACATTCATAATTGTCTTTTATTTGGTTTGTGATATTTTCTCTGTATGTTTTGAAACCTTCCCTTGCAGCTCTGCACATGAAACGCTGAGCACCTTTAAGTTTGCCCAACGTGCCAAACTTATTCAGAACAATGTACTTACTTGGACCTAAGATACCTCTGTTTTCATGAATACTAGGGTACACTTCAATTTTCTTTGTTTGTTTTTCAGGCTAAAGTGAACGAAGATGCTTCAGGTGATGTTGGTGCGCTTCAGAAGCAAATTCAACAACTAAAGGTATGGGATAGCGGCACGTTTGTGCTAATTTTACCTTGAAAATGCTCTTTCAATTAGAATTAAACCATTTTTCTGTATTCTTGCAGGATCAGCTGTCCTTTCTAATGCAGCATCATAACCTCTCAAAGCCTCTTTTGAGTTGTATGCCGAATTCTGAAGGACCCAAAGTGGCTGACAATTCCGCAGAAGACAGAAGAATAATTGATAACCTTAGTATGCTCACTACAGAAAATACGAAGGTAACTCCATCACTTCCGCATTCAAACACAGAGTCTTTTGTCCAAGGACTTGCGTGATGTTGTTGTGGACCAACAATTCTAACATCTACATGTCAGGTGAGATGCATGGAAGCTATTTTAGCTGGTGCTCTTAGGAGAGAAAAGTTGGCAGAAACTGCATTTCAGAAGTTGGAGAATGAAATGGAGCATGTGAACCAATCAGTATGCGATCTTACAACAAGGAATTCTTTTCTTCTTCGTTTCTTTTTTTCCTTTTTTGTCTAATTCTCTGCAACTTTCCCTTAGTAGTAGGACTAACTGTATTAGGTACTTAATTACCTTTTCTGTAGAAACAAAAGCAAAAATAGTTATATGCAATGGGTGTATTTATGTTAGAAACTCTGTTGCAGACTTGCCAAAGGGAGGAGGATTTGCAGCATACTAAAATGATGCTAAGGTTTCGAGATGAGAAAATTAAACAACTTGAGTTGTTAATGGATGGATCATTGCCTGCTGATCATCATCTTATGGAGGAAAATAAAGCTTTGAAGGAAGAGATTCAGCTACTTCAACCAAGGCTCGATACAAGTCCAGAATCAACACGTATTGCTTTGGAAAACATAAGACTTCTCGAGCAGCTTCAACTGTAACTTCATTAATGACGTGCTAACATTTTCTATGAATTTCTTCATTCTCTTTCTGCTCATCAAGGACTCACTTCCACATACTTTTGATGTCAGGTTCCAAAATTTTTATGAGCAAGGGGAGCGAGAATTGTTGCTAGCTGAAATTTCAGAATTGCGTGACCAGGTTTCAGAATAACTTATGGTTCTTCTTCTTCTATAGATACAATTCCAAAAGGTGCACTACATTTTCTTTTTGTGGACATGCAGCTACTGGAAGCACTTGAAAGAAATCTTAAGTTCTCCTCAAGATATGAGAGTCGGGTAAGAAAACATTTCCCTTGCTCCCTCCCAACCACCCCACCCCGCCCCTCCAGACAATTCTATCATTCTCTTGTTTGTAATCTCTATGCACTCTGAGCTTGCAGGATAATGACACTGTAAAAGAGTTGGAGGATTGCAGGAACATGAACTCCAAATTGATGAGGTATCATTGTAGATCCATCAGTTTTCTTTAATGTGTAATCGGCAAACTTGATTAGAAAGGAAATTCTTATCATTGATATTTTCTTGCCTTCTCATTCTTTTTCTTTCATTAATCTAATTGAATTTTAGCTCTCCTGAAAAAGTCTGCACATGTTGTTACTGCATGGAAGAATGCTTGTGGTTTAAGTAGCTGTGCGTGAGATCTTAATGATTGCCAAGCATGTCATTCTGTTGAGGCATTTTTATGGGCTATTCACATAGCTTGAAGTCAATGTTCTAACCCTGTATTTTGGCATTTTATATAATTCTATCATCAATGTGACTGCACTAGACTCTCATTTCCCCTCGTTCCAAATATTAGTTGGTGGTAACAAGATGTGAAACAATCAATTGTTCACACATACTTTTCCTTGATATTTTTTTCTTTGAATATTATTACATTATTCGTGGCTTCTCCTGCAGAGAGGTTGATGAATTACGAGGAGAACTCAAGAAGCACCTGAACTACAGTCAAGCTGCATATGATACTGTAAGGATAGCCAGCAAACTTTTGTAAGGAGTGGTTAGTGAGATGGGTTGGTCTTTGTCGCTGGGTATTTTATGTTTTTGTATCTCTTGCAGGGAACAGATTCATTAACTAAGGATCCCGAGGAAATAAGGCAAATAGATAAATGTTCTTTGGTGAGTAATATGCCGATTGCTTTCTGCTTACTGTTCAAATTATTTTCAAAGCTAATGAGCTTTAATTTGCCATTGCACATGATTTTATAATAAGATTTGGATATATGTAAAAGGTAAAAGGGTGCACTAATATGAGTTATTACAAGAATTCTAACATTTGCATGATTTTATTTTTGTTAAACTAACCAGCAAAATTTTTTTGGCCACTTTTACAGATCGAAACAATATCTACTGGCAGTGATTGGGGAGATGAGGTAGCATATTTTACCCCAACAAATGATATGTCTCTTCAAAACAAAAACAATCTACATATGAGTGCTGCCTCTGTTCAGCCTGGCAATACTCAAAAAGAGTTGATGGAAGCTAGATTCTTAATTCAGGCAATGGAATCTGAGCAGGTTCGTCTAATTGAAGAACTGCAGCTCATGCAGGATCATAACAAAATGTACGTTGAAATATTAAAGAAGAAGGGCAACACAGTAAGGGAATCTGTGCATAAACCTGGAAGTAAGTGTCTAGAGTTACAAAATCTAGAAGAGCACAGTGAAGTTATGGTAATGGAGGGGAGCAAAGATATCATGAGCAATCCATTGCAAGCCAAGCTGGACAAACTGAATAAGGACCTTGAGGAGGCCAGATCACTCAATTACCTCTATCAAGAAAATCAGGCATCAAAATTATCTCAACAGCATCAAGCTGAATTAGTTTGTGAAGAAGTTGAGACAGAGACCACTAGAACAATTCTTCATTTACAGGAGGAGGTTACTGCTCTTCAATTGGAGCTTGATGAGAGATTATGCTACATGACTCAGGAAAACATGGAACTAAGAAACACCATTTCTGCTAAAGAGTTGGAGATGAGGGAACTTTGTGGGGAGTGGGAAAGGGCATCCTTAGAACTAACAAGCTTTCTTGCAGAAGGTTCTAAATCTCTCAAAGACGCTTCTGGTCAGATTGAAAGTATTGTCTGTTCATTTCCTAAATTAAATGTTTTCATTGGTGAACATGTTGAGAGGGCTGCCAGGGCATGCATTGACAAAGAGGAAACCATTTTGCAGCTAGAGAAAAGCCTGGAAGATGCACACAAGATGGTCATGGATATGGAGATGAAGTTAAATTCCTTGAGGGAGGCAACACTGACTTTGAATGATTTTCCACAATCAGATAATGATGAAAGCACAGAAGAGACAACCATGATGCTGAATGAGAAGATCAATATGGTAAAGATGCTGGAGAGTGAACTCAAGTTGAAGGAGATTCGCATTAATGAAGCAGAAAAAAGTGCCGATGCTGCTTTTTTGGTAGTAAAATGGCTATCTGATTGCCACAAGGTTGCTCACAGTGATGATGTAAAGAGAGACATTCCCATATCAAAAATGCTTTCTCCCACTAAGATGGCCTATCATAAGACTTCTGATGAGAAGGTTGATGCAAATCCTCTGACTATGGAAGGTAATGATGCTCCGATTGGGTTGGAAACTTTAATTATGGAGTCTGAACATGCTATTAATGCTTCCTACAAGGATGTAGAAGTGCATATGGCTGGGCTTCAAGCAGAGGTTCTTGAAGCTTCCGCTTCATACAGGGACTTGGTTCAGGACCTGGTGAAAGAAATTCAGGAGATGAAGGGTAAACTTATGGAACTAAAAGAAAGGCAGATTGACTGTCAGTCTTCTACTGCAAATTCAAAAGCAGGGGAACCGCTTGAGTTTTTTAAGTTGGATAACCAGTTGCACATTTTGCAATCAATAAAAGATGAACTAGCTAATATCAATAATAGAATGGAAATTGTTTCTGATTTTGTTGACAAAAAAATAAGTTCACACAGCTGCCCGTTAAACCAAAAAGATTTAGTGGAAGCAGATGGCTGGAGCACCGATAGTTCTGCATCATGTTATTCCTTGATAGGCTCTGACCTTTCTCCTGAAAGTGTTGGTCTAGTAAACAAATTGGATGGAATATCACATAGTTGCTGCTCTAACTTTTCTGGGAAGATAACTGAACAAATGGACCTGGAGTCTCGAAAGGGATCAGTTGTTCAATCTGAATCAGAAGGATCAATTGTTCAATCTGAATCAGAATACTCAGAGAAGCTTTTGAAAATTCCACATCCCAATCGAGAAATGACATTAGACCTGAGAAGGGAGCTGGATTTGACATTTGATGCATTCAGCAAAATCTATGTTCATTTAAGCACAATTCTCAATGAGGATGATTTGGTGCATTGCACTTGCCCAGCAGGTACATATTTTTTCTGAGCTATTGCATCTGTATATAATAAGAAAATAAAAAAATAAAGAAAATTAGCAAGAACTTGATTGTTTTAACAAATGACAGATATTAAGGAACCATTTCCAACTTCTGGCTCGAGGATGAAGATTGCTGAAGCATTCTGCCATAATACCAGAAAGGTACACGTTGACTTTTAATAGCTAATTCATTTGATCTTTTGCATGTTTTGGCGGACTAAATATCAAAGTTTGGTACATAATAGCATTGCTGTTACTTTTTTGGTTTGATTATTACCAAGTTACACAAATTGTTCAAAAATCACTCTTTAAATTTTATCATGAGCAATATTTTCAAACATTACAGGTACTTGCAGATGATAAGGTTAGTCATGCTAGTATGTTTTTAAGAAAATGTGAGGAAGCCTATGCAACCATGAAAGAAGCTGATTGTATGTTGAATGCATTGATGGAAGCAAATGAAAATGCAAATCAATTGAGTGGTATGTGGAAGCAAGCCAGTGACGAACTGATGGCAGACAGATCACGCTTGGTTGAAGAAAACAAACAGCTCAAGTCTTCATTATGTTTCAAAGAAGAAGAAAACAAATTACTGTTGGATGAAATCAGTCATGGTTTGGCAGAAGTAGCAAATTCCATGTCTTTGCTTGAAGTATGTTTTCTGCAAATGCAAAGGGAAGAGGAGGAAAGGCACAAGGTTGTTTATTCGGATGTCTTATCTATAGGAAGAGAGATGCTAAACTTCATTTGCAATTCAAGATCATCAGTGGAAGATATTTGCTCCGAGATAATGGAGAAGGGATTTGCTCTCAGCGTCCTGTATTCATTGCCTTGTAGGAGAGGTTGTTCACAAAATTCCAAGCTTCAATGCACAACCTGGTTTCTGTTCATTCAGCCAACAAGAGAGTCACATGGGAATGGATACTTTGCAAAGAGTTTGCTCGTCTTGTCATTCTGAAATCATTGTTACTAATAAACAGGGAAAAGATGAACTGCGTCAAAGAGAATCACTCACAAGTTTGGAGGAAGGGGAGGGGCCATCATATGGTAAACTGATGTACGAGAATTTGTCCCTTAAGAAAGAACTGGAGAGGAAAAAAAGTCTATTGAAGGGCTTGCTTTTCGATTTTAGTTTGCTGCAAGAGACAGCCTCCAATAGAACGGACATCAAAGATGAAACTGAAAAGTTAATTTTGGCTCTGAGTGAAGTTCGACACGAGCTAGAGAAGAAAACAAGTCAGCTTGATGACCTGTTGGTTCAGCATAGAAAAGTTGAAGGCCATCTTATGGATACTGAAAATGCTTTATTGGTATCGATATCTGATCTTGAGCAAGCTAAGGAAACAATAGATACCTTGTCAGACGAAAATGCTGAGTTGAGAATGCTTCTTAAAGATATATATCTTAAAAAATCTGAAGCTGAAGAACAACTGGAAGAACAGAAGGAGGTGACCAAAGGCTTGGAAGAAGAAATTATTCACTTGACTTCATCTGCTGAAAGGAAATTGAACACTTCAGTTAAAAGCCTGGAGGAGGAGTTAGAAAAGATAAGAAATGAGAGAGACCAACTCCATGAAGAAATCTACTCCTTCAATGATAAGCTTGAGATGGCATATGGATTAGCTGATGAAAATGAAGCTATTGCTGTTGAAGCTCGCCAGGCATGTACTATTGCAGTTTAGCTTGTTCTTTTGAGATCCATAACATGATTGGAGCTTGATAATATAAGCATTATTTTTATAAAAATATTTCAGGAGTCAGAGGCAAGTAAAATGTATGCTGAACAGAAGGAAGAGGAGGTCAAGATTTTAGAACATTCTGTCGAGGAGCTTGAGAATACAATAAATGTATTGGAAAAGAAGGTTAGTTTCCTGGCCATCAAAAGTTCATAGGTTACTGGTTAAAAAGTCTTTGGAATCAAGATTCATTTAGAAAAATAATAAATTAAAGCCAAAATGAATGAATTTTATGCCTATTGAAAAACTATTATTTTTTGTTTGTGCTTGCCACTGATTTTTAGTTATCTCTTATAGCAACTGAAATGCTATGATTTTTATTAATTGTTTCCCTCGCTTAGGTGTATGAAATGAACGATGAGGTAGAAAGACATCGATTGATTAGAGACTCGTTAGAATTGGAACTTCAAACTCTGCGGCAGAGATTGTCAACAGTTGAAAACATCACTGACATTGCAGATTCTGTACAAAATGAAGATTCTATATCTAGGTGATTACTGCTTTTTTTTCATCGATATGAAATGCTAATTTCTGCATTGTTTATTCTTGGAATTTAAAAGTTATTTGATGCAGGCAACTGCACAATAGATTACTGGAGCTTCATGGGACTCATAATCAGATAAGACTTCTAGAGAGGGGCATTGCAGAAAAAGATAAAGAGGTGCAACCTTAACATGTCGCTAGTTTTATTAACAAGAAAATTTTATACAATATACTTTATCTGCCTTTTCTTTTTCAATAACAACATTTTGTCCACATGTAAGATCAAACAATGCAAAGAGTACATCTCCGAACTTGTACTGCATTCTGAAGCTCAGGCATCACAGTTTCAAGAGAAGGTAACTATCTCGTATTTTGGCTGTTCATTGTGCTATCAATTTATAAAATATGCAAATTCTGAAATCCAAAGGAATATAAGGTAGACTAGTCTATATCTTCCAGAACTGTCTCAGTCTGTCAGGATGCACCATTTAATAGCTATTGGACAATTCTGAAACAGGAGTGCTTTTATTACATTCAGTTACTTTATCACAAAGATTGGTGACCCGACATTCAGTCGCTATTGTGTTGTAATATATTATTCCAAAACTGAAACAAAATATATGAAGTATTCATACCAAAATGTATGAAGTGCTTTAGGTTTGGGAGATTCGTTTGTAAGTTGGCAGATTTGAATATTCGAGCTTGACTTTCAACACATGTTTATCATGCCTAATTGTTCTTTTATGTCAGTTTGACATACGAATCTACAATAACTTTTCTGTTCACACAATTTGACAGTATAAGACTTTGGAAGCCATGGTTCATGAAGTAAAAACAAATTCGTTGGACTCAGCATCAGCCCTAGCAGTGGCAGATAAAAGGGAAAAAAGCTCAATGAGAACAAGGGGTTCTAGTTCACCGTTCAGATGCATTGCAGGTTTGGTTCAGCAGATGAATTTGGAGAAAGATCAAGAACTGTCGGTGGCAAGGCTTCGTATAGAAGAGCTAGAAGCAGTGTTGTCTGGTCAGAAAAAGGAGGTTAAGTAGTTATTCTCTCTTAAGTACTTTTCTGGTTTCAGTTATGGTTATATGAAGTTCTGTTGATTGATCCATAAATTGAGATATCTTTACCCGACTAATAATGTCGAGGTTTTAACGTCTCATAATTAATGCCACTTTAGAACTTAATGGCAGCACCAATACGAGTAAAGTTTGACATCTCTCACTTTACAGATATATTTTTATAGATTGAATCGCGAGTTACATTCATTTTTCAGGATATCATTATTTTTTGTTGATGGCAAAGCCATATTCCTGTTCGTGTTCTTGGCACTCTCTCTCTCTCTCTCTCTCTCGCACACACGTTCATGTGCAAGCAATGCAAATCATACTTCGCCAGAACTGTATACATTTGTGCATCTGCAAATTGATGAAGTAAGATTCATGTACTTATTCAACAACGAGAATTAACTATTAACTCGAATTTAGTACTGGAACAGGTATGCGCTCTAAATGCTAGACTGGCTGCAGCAGAAAGCATGACTCATGATGTCATTCGGGATTTACTAGGTGTTAAAATGGATATGACCAACTACGCGGTAAGCTTCAAAATTGCCACTTCAAACATGTCGATGTTTTATTATAACTGTATTGCTTAGCTCTGTGCATCTTTCTCCTTGGCATATTGTAGAATCTGATTGATCAGCACCAGGTTCAAAAATTAGTAGAGGATGCTCATCAGCAAACAGAAGAAGTCCTTGCAAAGGTATAACAGTCACAAGATAATTCGTTTGGCCATGTATTGGGTCGAGATGAGATTCTGATTACTTTCTTTTCATAATTACAGGAGCAAGAAATCCTGAACTTAAGAAAACAGTTAAATGATCTCACTGAAGAAAGAGAGAGGTAAGGACTTTCTCCACAGTAACAAGTTTTGGACTTCTGTTTCCTTGTAAAATACACTTCAAAATAAGAATTGCTACCCACAACGAGTTAAAAAACCATGAAAAGAAGAGGAAAGTATTCGGTAGACTAGGCCAATAGATATAAGACACAGACAAAAGATAACAGTCCCCACACGATGACATATGAATTCCACGTGATTTTGTCTATGTGGCTTTTCTTTACTGCCCTCGCCTATGGATGAGGTGTAGATCAAGTCGAACTAATACTTCCTTGTGGAGAAGGCAAAATGTAAGAGCAAGGGACATGCCGTAAAAATTGAATTTTGTACATAGCTTTTCTATTTCTCACTGATGTACTTTTTATCCATCTGAATGTACTGCAGTTGCGTAGCTGAAATAAATCTGAAAGTGGCAGATATGCTTGCTGCCCAGATGATGGTAGAGCAACTTAAAGAGCGAGATCAGTTGCTCTCAGCACAGAATGAAATGTTGAAGGTGTCAATAATCAACCGTTTTAGTTTGCAACCATGTAGATGTTACTGAACTGCATGCTGCCTTCAACAGAGTTCTGTTCACATTTGTTGTTACATTTGTTTCTGCAGGTGGACAAAAGTAATCTACTGAGAAGAGTTGCAGACCTGGATGAAATGGTGAAAACTCTTCTTGGAACACAAAGTAACCAACAGCGAGTTCAACCCACAACGAGGGTCAAGGCACGTGTCTAATATTGCGAAAATTTTCTGTATCTTGATTGTTTACACTTGGGAGTTAAAAAGTTTTCATCATCAAACAGGAGAAAGGAGTACTAAAATTGGGTGGTGCTGATTTAACTGGGAGACTTGCGCATTCTGAAAAGCTTTTGTCTCGTGTGAACAACGAACTTGCTCAGTATCGCAGCAGACCCGATGCTACTCATCCACATGCCAGAACTCATGGAATTAAACGATAAGTAAGTTTGTCAGGAATGGTTCTTTGACATATCCTGTTGCAAAACCAGGGTGGTAACTTCTGATAATTTACAGGAAGGATAAGGCTTAGCCCAATTTTGCAGAGGTCTTTTCATCTCGTGCACGCCATTCTACGGTTACCTAGAGCACAATTATTCCGGCAGTTATAGCCCACGCCATTTCGTTGACTGAAAAATAAGACGTACAGTGCATTTGTAACGTCATGTAATGAAATGATTTACCGTCATCACTAGAATCTTGTTTTTTAATTTCAGTTTCGTCAAGTATTTTCTTTTATCCTATTAGAAATTAATAGGGACTTGTAATTATTTGTAAATTGTTATTCCATTTATTTCTTGTTCCCCTGGGGAACTTTTTATATATATTTTTTTATACACCATATAATTTTTTACTGTGTAAAGTGAAGGGAAAACAAACCACACGGAGAACGTCGTTTCAGTAACAGAGACATTTAAAGCGATAGTAGCACTCCCAAATGCAAAGTAAGAACACAACCCTAAAGTAACCGATGATGGGTAAATAAGTGGAGAAATATAACAATAAAAAGAAGATGCAGAATAATATCAACAAATTAGGGAACTGCAAATGCATTGGGTTTAAGCTTAGTTTAGTAGACAAAAACCTATTTTTCAGGCTTGCCAACTCTTAAATGCCATTTAGTTCTTTCAATGCAGAACGAACTAGTCTATTTCCCACTGCTCTATTCCAGGTTTAAATTGTCTGGTGCTTACAAGAACAAACAAGTACAACCTCCCCCCACCCCTATCTTCACCTTTATAATAGACAAAAAACTAAATTTCAGGCTTGCAAACTCTTAAATGCCATTGAGTTCTTTCAACGAAGAAATGAACTATTCTATTTCCCACTGCTCTATTCCAGGTTTAAATTCTGGTGCTTACAAGAACAAACACGTACAAACTCCCCACTATCTTCACCTTTTTAGTTGACAAAAAAACTATATTTCAGGTCTGCAAACTCTTAAATGCCATTTAGTTCTTCCAACGAAGAACAAACTATTCTATTTCCCACCGCTCTATTCCAGGTTTAAATTGTCTGGTGCTTACAAGAACAAACATGTACACCCTCCCCCTATCTTCACCTTTTTCTTCCTTACCTAAATTTTAGTCATTAAGAATCTGTTAAGACATGTTAGATGATAGTTGCAGGTGGAACTGTTACAAGCAAGCACATAATAAATGTCAATTAGTTGGACCATTGATCAGCTGTAAATACATGAACATGCACTATCTTGGACTTTGATCCTGCTGCGATACACCACACCCTCCATCACCCATCTGTTGAATCCAAAATGCATCATAAAACAATCTGCAGCAATCTCTTAAATGCCCAATGAGAAAAAAACAGAGAAAATAAGACTTCTCTGGAATTCTTTGAATATTTATGCCATGCTGTGCATCAATTTGAGAAAATTATGCATCAAAATCCAGGAGGTGGCAGACATGCTTTGTGCCTTCCTCTTGCAATAAACAGTAGAACAATGCAACAAACAAAAACCTTTTTATGACAGGTAAGATGGATGTAACATGCTTTGGAAGCTTACTGATCTCAATGTTCTGAAGAATAGAGCATTACCTTGATATTCTCAAATTTTGTAACCATCCTCATGTACTGATCACGTGCTTCTGGGTTGCGAACCATTGACGTCACTCTTGCTAGAGCTTTATCAACTCCAGCAAATTTCTGTTTGCGGCTTATTCGCAGAAAATCATATTCATCCATTTTCTCAGTGTCTGGTTTCACATCTCCAAATGTCTTTTCCAACCGAAATCCCCGCAAACCAGTGCGTTTCCGCCTCCAACGCAATATTGCCTTTTCGACAATGCTAACTGACCAAACTACCTTTTTGTATTGCTTTCGAACTTGATGTCCCCTCACATGAGCCTGAAAGCAATCACTATACTGAATCAGCATTTGCATTTCTCAGATATTGCAAGTAAACTTAAGTTGAATGTGCAATCTACGTTGCATGGAAGAAAAAGAAAGGAAAGTTCATGAAATATGGTAGGAAAAAGCAACCACCAGAAACATCAAAAGATAAAAGAGAACTACAATTCATCTGGAAATAATACATTTGGTTCCTACAACTCTGACAAGCACATTCTAGGAATAGGTCAAGCAATCACAATACATCTAAATCCATATCCTCTCCTTAAATACCGATACTCATGCAGCAAGTAATTATTCACTGTAATGAAGAACGAGAAATTTATGGTGAAACATGTAAAATGCATGGCATGAGAAAGCACTGCATTGAAGTACCTGAATTTTTACAATTCGATTGCGTATCTTCAAAAAATCTTTCCTTCCCTTCCAGCCGCGATACTTTTGCTGGATCTTTACAGCTGCAGAATGTAAATAATCTTCAAAGTGACCCCTCTTTTGAACCATGTTCAAGGAACCAAGGGCAGCTAGGTCAAGTGAAACTTCAGAAATATCATCACTGCTCTTCGCTAATTGTCTTTGACGAAAAGAACTGGCTCGATAGGCAGCTTGAATGAGAGCTGCTGCATGAGCTGATTTTCTGACAGCAGCCAGAGACCCTTTCAAGGAAAGCAGTTCGTATTCTCCCTTAATTGACAGAGAGGCAACTTGGGCTGCAAAATCAGTTGCATTCTCTGCTGCAATAGTTGCAGCAACACTATCCATCTCATTTTGGTGAATATTCAAGGTTGAAAGATGTCTGCTTAAAAAGGCTTCAGCCAAGTATCCAGCAATGCCTTTATGGCCTCGACATGATGCTAAATCAGCTGCACTTTGTCCTCCAGGAAATGCTGGAGTTGGGTCGGCAACAGCAGTTGGATCTGCATCCAATCTAATAAGTGCAATCACTGTTTCTTCTCTGGATGAGGAGAACAGCACAGCAACTTTCAGTAAACAGTCATTAAAGATTAGAAGCAAAAATTTGGACATCAAAGCATTTATGATTTTACTAACATATAATTCACAACAAAATGTCAGGATTGGGGTAGCAAAAGTGGATTAATTATCCCTCTTAAGCATTAGAATTGTAGCAAATATACTATATAAAGATATAGTACAAAAGGAAATTCTCCAAAATAGTAGTGCAGTCTTGGAAAAGACAAATCAACATGTGAACACACATGTCTATGCATGTATCATGCATGGATGAGGTTAGGAAATATAGTTTTGAAACAGAATCGAAAGCCAGGATAGCTCACAACTGCAAAAAATATGAGAAATCAAAAGATTTTTTTAAGAAATTAAATAAAACTTCAACAACAATGTTCTGAATAAGGAGCTATAGACGAAGTTCCAAACTGCAAGACAATAGAACTCATAATAGCAATCTGACCTCCCAAAATATGATGCCCAGTGAAGTGCCGTTCTACCTCGTGCATCTCTGAAATTGGGATTGCCACCGGCAGCAACTATGAGGTCCATGGCCCATTCATAACCAAGACCGGCAGCCAAATGGATGGCTCCTTGACCTTCTTCATCCAAAACATTTGGTCCTTTACCTCCCTCGTGAACTTTACAGACCAGCCACTCACAAAGTCTGTCCTTCAGCAAACTTTGGATCAACTTATCTCTAAAGTCAATGCTATCACCTACAGCAACCATGCCATTATCTTTGACCTTTCCCAAATCCTTTTTACTATCATTTCTCAAAGAATATAAAGTACTTCTCAGCTGGCATCTTTCACAATCATCAATGGAGCAGTTCGACAACTTCATCACAGGGCCTAAATATAATAACTTTGCTAAACGCATTTGGAAGAGCATTTCCTCTTGTTGAGCACTTTTGGCAGACAAAGATGCAACCCCATAAGGATTTTCACGATATTCAAATTCCCTCACCTCACTGCACGACAATCTGTTACGACAGGTGACATAAAATGGAACACGGCCGGGAGCATGTTGAGGAACTTGACAACGAATGACATAATCATTCAAAACCTCGGCAGAAACTTCAATCTCACCAAACATACAGCCCCATTTAGTTTCACTGGTAAACTTCTTGCTTCCCAAAAACGTACCGATGATCAGAACCTGATTAAAATCAGCACGAAAGCATATTTCTCATTCTTTGTAACAAACATCTTAATGCAATACGAAGCTTGTAAGTGGTTTTAACTGCAGGGGAAAAAAGGGATCAAGAAAAAGTATACAAACCTTCGTGTCAACACCAGAATAAGCCCAATCTGGTGAGAAATCACGGATGCTAAATAGCTGGTCCTGGGAAAGAGAAGGGCCTAATGAATCGATTTCCAACTGCATATGGTTCAACAAACTGGAAACTTCCTTGTCTTCATTCTCAGCACCCAGTGTATTCCAATAGTTGCCAGAATCAGAAGCCATCAAAGAATCATCACAATCTCCACCAATTTCTTTATCCATCCATCTCCCGAAACTGTCAAGTTTCTTTAGCTCTCCTGATTCAATATTGTTAGCAACTCTATTGTTGACTTTGTTCTCAACTTTGGCAGTAGAAGCAGCCATTGTTTGAGTCCCAGAGCGATTAAGAAATTGGGGAGAAATCAAATTGAAATCAAGCTCCTGAAACACCAAAAAAAGTGTGAGGTTGAAGTGTCACTTTGCGAATATCACATAGGAACCATTAATTAAAATATCTATCAGCATAGCATATTACATAACACAAATAGCAGACCTGAATTACTTTTTGAGGAGCTGCAGTTATATCAGTGATCAACCCATTTGCACTAACCACAGTATCTGGAACTGTGTCACCTTCTAATGTAGCATCTGTTAGTTTATGAGTAAGGAACTCAGCTCCACCAGGTTTCTCAACAAAAAGTTTCTGGCCAGGCACAATAAATACACTTTGGTCAGAGCTGTGAATTTCAGGCAACGGAGATGATTTTGTGCCATGATCAAATTTTGCTTCTGCAAACCATGATCCAGGAGGATTCCTTGATAACACATTGAATACTGAAAAGTAACACAAACAAAGTCACATGATTAAGATATAAAAACAAGTATTAAAAAAGAATCAAATAATATGTGATAACATACAAAGATCATGTATACATGGAGAAACTCATACAACTTGTAGGTTACAAAATGCAATCAAGCAAACGAAAAAAAAAAACTAGAACGGATGAAATTTTGAGTAACACGAAGTTCAGGTGGTGGATTAGAAGCAATAACAGTGAAGGTGGAGCAAACATCACTTCAGCCAGCTCAAAAACCAGTAAAGATCACCTCAATCTAACTGGATAATAGCAGAGCATAAAGAAAAAGCAAACATACATACAGAGATTTTAAATTCTTTTTAAGAATATGTTGAGGGCCTTAGTGCAAAGCAACATTAAGAAACAAATTTGACACACTATCAAATATATTCAGCTCCACCAATTATACATAAAATGAATTATTCATGCAATGTAACTTACCATCAACTCCAGGTGCAAGGAAAGATGAATTGTGTGATATAGAGCCCTGGATGAATTGAGTGAGAGAAGAGGTTCCTGGACCATTTCTAGAATCCACATCCTCAAATTCTGAAGATAATGTTTTTCCATTCCAGTCAATTTTGTTTGGACTTGACGCATAAGATGTCTGAGCTGTAGAAGCAGGTGAGGCTGCTTGTGCAAAGGAAGTAGCAGGACTGGGTTGAAGGTTTTCAACCCGTGTCCCTGAATCTTCTAGTAAACGTGATACACCAGACTTGTATCCCTTTATCACAGAAAAAATAAAGGAACAGCTATTGAAATTCTAATAGCAAATGTAAGTACATTTCAAGTTCGGCCATAATTGCAAGTATTTATAATAGAATACTGAGAGAGAGAGAGAGAGAGAGAGAGAGAGGCACATAAATTGGCACAACAAACATTTTTCACTAGAGCAAAAAGATATGATTCAGGCAAATTCTCAGTTTCTCGTGATTATCATTAAGCTTTAGCACTGATTTAAAATTTAAAATCGCATTACCATAGAATCCTGAGAGAGAGAGAGGGAGCATAGATCAACACAAAGTATACCTCTTTCACTTCTCTGTAGTGTACAAAAACAATGTGCTCTAGCTGCCTGAAAACCGCAATTAAAAAAAAAAAAGGGTAAATGGTGTAAGCATACAAAGGAGTACTTATTGACAAATAGTTAATTCATGGCCTATCATATTTATTATAGCAAAATATGCAGAACAGCAATATAAAAGAGTTCCAATTCCATGTAAAAATACCATGCTTCTTCCCTCTTTTGCCCCATATATTGGGGTCGGGAGAACATGTGAAAATTAAATGTATTTTAGAAAATAAGTCTTGAGAATATAAAATAATGTCTTAACTATGGGAAAGCAAAAAACTGCAAAATTCATTTAAAGCATCTCTTTTTACCCTGGTGCATGTTTCCTATAAAATGTCCGTAAGAGAACAGTGTCCAACATACTAGGGTGTCAAATACTTTGCAAATTGACTATTAGAAGTAGTGTGACATTGTGAAGAGTTCCAAAAAATCAGAACTTTAAATTTCACAACAAGAAGACTAACAGAAACACTCACCCATCAAGCATCCAATAGCACCGCCGCTGAAAGTTCTCATTATCTTCCCCATGGGCATAGTAACAATGGAGAACATCCACACTGCCAGCCTGCAGAAACCAATTGAGAACTAATTGACTAAAGAGCCAAAGAGTGTTACTAAAACCACCTATGCAGGATGAAAAAATTCAGTAGAGCATCAGATTTGAACAATAAGAAATAGAAAATTGTTACAACAAAACATTTGAAATGGCACTATATAACCTATAGAGAACCACTCCTGCTGCTGGACTTTGCGTCCCAAATAATGTTTCTCTGCTCATGTTTTTCATGCCAATATACAATCTGCACTTTATATGCAATAACAAATGCAAAACTATAACCAACAGTTTAAGGCTTCGGTAAGCAAAAGTGACTCGGTGGGTTAAGGGTTTCTGTAAAACATAGGGAATCATGTTTCCACGAAATTACAACTAACAGACTGGACCACATAAGACTGACGGAAGACCCAAAAAAAAAAAAAAAAAAAAAAAAAAGGCGAACTTACAACTAACAAATTGAAGAGCACACCTTCAACTTTTCATGCGCTTCTCTGACAGTTTTCCCATCTTTTTTCTTCCTCCAACGATGACCATCTTTACGGAAATATCTAAGTGCTTTTCGATCAAACAAGAACATAGACCCAGCTGAAAATAACAAGCATATAAAAGACAAAATGAAACCCAATGCACCAAGTTCAGTGGCCAGAAAAATAATCATAAAAAAAAATAAATAAAGTAAAGAAAATATTTATTTAAAGAAAATGAGAACCTGCAGGCCTAGCAGGTGGCTCTGCAGTCAACTTAAACTTCTGGTAATTGCGAAGAATTTGCAATATTTCAGTAGGTCGAAGCCAACGGTGCTTTGCTTCTTCCAATATCTGCTCTATATCTGCCAATTTCGATTTTTCAACAGAAATATATATATATATATATATATATATATATATATATATATATATATATATATATATATATATATATATATATATTCCATAAGGGAACTCTTAAAACAACAATATTTAACTTAATAGGAAATCACATTCAACGTATTAAACATAAAAAAAAAAAAAAAAAGGGAAAAGAAACTCACTCAGTGAATGATCAAGGATGTGTCTTCTAGTCTCAGCCATTAACATAAACCCCAAATTTCATCACCTAATAACAACAACAACAACAACAACAACAACAACAACAATAACAATAACAACAGCCTCCCTCTAATTAATTACAAGAATTCGAGAATATATAAAGCAGTAAATAAAAAAAGTTTATCAGAAAAAAGGGAACAATTTGAGAAAAGAAATGAAATTAGAGGAGATTTAATTTTTAGAATCAAATCAGATAAAAACACAATAAAAAAAAAAAAAAAAAAAAACCATAAAAAGAAGCAAAGATTCTAATTTTACATGCTGGCCTGAGACATGAGAGAGAGGAGGGGAGAAAGCTTGAAACGGGAAAGGAGAGGAAAAACAGACGTGTGAAATCCAGTGAATTAAAAAGAGAGAAAGGAGCAAGAAGTCAATGACTTAAGGGTTCGTGTCCACATTGACATAGGGAGGGAGAAGAGGATATATTAGTTGGATTGTGGGTCAGATCTGACGTGGCAGCGCAAGAACGTAGGCAGGATTTCTTGTAACGTTAACCTACGTATCTGGCCCTCTTCGGTCCATCTACTTTACCACAGTTGATTGATTTGCGTCTTCTCTTTGATTATATATGTATGTATGTATGTATGTAGGTATAATTTATTATTTTCTCTCTTTTAAAATTTATTAATAAAGTCTGATTTGTTATAATTTATCTTATAATCACCTATAAAGTATATCACGGGAATAAACACTATCTTTTGCTTCTTCTCTTTTGATTTTTTTTTTTGACAGTTCCTTTCATTTTAACGTTTGGAGTATGATTGGTGATTCGTGCTCCAAGTTGAGTCGATTTAATGAATAATTTATAAAAATTACTTTCTCATAATATTATTAGCGGATAAATTCTAATATAAGATAAAAAGAGTAAAAGAAACAATTTAACTGTAATTTGAATCAGCATTTCACAAAAGATCTGTATTGCTGAAATTTGAATCAGCTTACTTGAATTTGTAACGTACTTCAATTTTGTCAAAGATTTAGATACTCGGAAGCTGCATGGAGCAACCAATACCGAGACCAACAAATCTGAATTTTTTGACAAATATCTACAACTGGCCAATACTATATAAACTAAAGTGGCAGAGCACATGAGCCAAATGGCCAACATAGGCTTACCTTTTCTTTTCTTTAAGAGATCTATGGTTAAAAAAGAAAAAACTAGTGGCAAACAATTACTATGCTTGTTCGGTACACGGTTTCTAAACAGTAGAAAGCGAGAATCCATTTTTTAAAACAATAAGCATAATCTGTTTCGAGAAAGGAAAAAAAAACTGCTATAAATAAAAAAAATTACATCAACAGCTTATAAAAAATGATAAAAATATTTTCATTTATAGTCAAATTCTTCTTTTTATATATATATATTTCTGCCTAATAGAGTAAATATTGATAATTAATACCATAAAAATTTCTCGTCAGGGCACACCATTGTCCCAAGTGCATGCCTTTTTTAGAACCCGAGAACACCGTGTTAAAGACATATAATCATGCAAATTTCGATTTCATGGAATGTTCTCCAGTTCTCGGTTCAAACCTGTCATGGCCCACATAACGAGTTTTCACCACTACGACGAAATAAACTACTATCAAAACGAAGGAATTTGTCCTCACAAAAATCTCCAAATTCTTCAGCGAGAAACTGTAACCTTACCTGTCTGAAGAAGAAGAAAAGAAACTAAAATGAACGTGGTAGCCGATCTTTACTTGCATCAATGCACCATTAGTCATGGCTAACCATACTGCAGCAAACAATCATCATCTAGTGGACCAGTTATACGCTTTAACCCATCACAAGCCGCCCTTTTTCTGTCAGAAACATGTCTCCTTAAAGGAAGGCTCCCTGGGTCTGGAAAAAATGGACCAGGCATGGTGCAGACAATCCAAAATATTCAACAGTGTTATAGGCATCACCTCTTTCATTCATTACAACCATTAACTAAAAACAGTTCAATTACAATCAAACCATGGTGTCAGTGAAGAAAAAATGACATGATGCCCATCACAATACAAAGAACAAAGGTAACATTTATTGTTTCACCAAATCATGTCCGACTATTTCCATATATAGCATAAAAGAATTGCAAGGCAATGGGTGTGGGAGATGCTACCAGTTCTCACTATTACTTTCACCAACCTTTAGTACAAACATAAATGTAGTGAACATCGGGATTCTTTCCAAGCACTGCTTCTACCGAACTCCCATTTTCATCCAGAGGTACAGGATTTGTCAGCTCCCGAATTGGATGTTCAGAACCTTCATCTAACAAAAGTTTCTCTGCAATCAAAGACAGCAAGATGAGAAGCATTTCAAATTCATTGCTGTCAATAATCAAGGTTCATGAATAAAGTTAAATAAATAAAAAAAGAAACCAATTAAACTGGCACAGTCCAGGCAGGTTATCGCATAACACACAAATGCAGGAGAATGGTGCAAGACTAGTTTTTCTTAGGTGCTAAGATCCTATGCACTATAAATTTCTTTGACTCCAATTTTTTTACCCTTTCTTCCAATTTTTTTGGAGGCACGTTTGTTTTAGGCATCAATTTGCTTGCACAAAGAAGTGATGTGGTTATTGTTACACAAACACTAACCCATATTAAAAGTTAAAAAAATCAAATTTAAAAAGGAACATCAACTTTCTTCATCAATTTAGGCATTGAATTCCCCAACTCTTTTGAAAGACAAAAATGTGAATGTTATATACACAAGCAAAACTCAAATAACAGAGGAGTATTTTTAACATTATCATCCAGGGCTTTAAAGATACAAACTGAAAAAAAAAAAAAAGAAAAGCCACCGCCAACCAGATCCCAGAAAAAAATAATGCATGGAATTCAACTCTTCATGCAACAGTGCGACAAAAGGAATACAAGGCAAACATTTGATACATGAGACAAGAGTTTAATAAACCTATAACATGGAGCTTTATCCTCCACGAACACGAGTCTCTTAATGTTTGTAAGCGATACACTGGAGCTCCATATGTAACCTGCAATGATTTACCCCATTAGCTAATTTAAAGGCACAAAGTAGAAAAGCAAAAACATCATATTGTTATTGCTGAATTGATCAAGCAAGTATAGTGCTTTTACCAAAATATACACTCCATTGTCCTTGAGAACCCTATAGTTTTTCATCAACTGCTTCAATATATCGTGAACATATCAAGAAAGAAAAAAAGTAGAAACAAAATCAAGAAACAATTTGAATATTGTTGTTTACAGTTTATCTTTCTACCTCCAAACTTCCTTGAGCATCTTGGCAGCATTTTTTCTTGATTCATTCCCGCACTACACGAAAAAGTCCCATCAGTATATATTCATCTGGAATAAAAATTCCAAAATTCCAATGAAGTATTAAACATCAGCGAACTTAATTAGTACCAAAGACAACATCCTGTTTCGTACTTACCAAGATAGAGTCCAAAGTTCCTGAAAAAAGAAAACAAACATTAGAAACTGCTTTATTCATAATTTCACATGCATGTAACCCAATTATTAAAAAGATTCAATGAAAACAGTACCTTTATCAATAACAGCATCGAATGAATCAGATTGAAAATCACTCATATCTCGCACATCCATTCCAATATCTGTTAAAAAAAAAAACTTGACTGCATAGATAACTCTATACCAAACACAAGATCTTGGGTTTAATTTAAATTTGTAATGTTCTCGAGTGTTAAAAATACACTCATTCAACCATCTGCTTCAAAATAGCACCTTCATTGCATAAAATCTTGGTTAGCAAAAAAATACATGGGTTTAATTCAAAATGTAGAATTTTCATCTGTGCTAAACATTCCTACATTTCAATTGATGAAATAATAGCATAAATTTCCTTTAAAATGTAGAGATTCTCAAGTCTTAACAAGATACGTACATTTCAATTGAGGATGATTACTATACTTCTTTTGCATAGCTTCAATTACCACAGAGGATATATCAATGTTAACCACGTCTTCATATCCATCACTCACCATACCTTCACTAAATGCTGCCACATTTCAAATAAACAAACACACACACACACACACACACACACAAAAAGATTAAATGGGGCCTGATCTTGTGATTTGGTGTGTCAAAGAACAAGGAACAAATATTGTGAGGCCCAATTCATACCTGAGTTGCCACAACCAACGACAAGGATTCGAGGATGGACGTGACGAGAGATGTAGAGATTGATGAGGGGAGCTAAGGAAGAATACTTTTGGTACCAATCAAATGGTCCTGATTCACTGGAATATCTGTTGTCCCAGTACCACGGGTCACCGTATGCTTGTGTAGATGCTCCCATTGTCAATTACCTCTCTCTCTCTCTCTCTCTCTCTCTCTCTCTTCTCTCTCTGGTTGGTTTCTCAAATCTTCTTTGGTTGTTTCAGACAATTGTGAGTTTCAGTAACTTTGTGGCCTCTTCCTGTCTAAATTTTAGCATCGTATAATATTGTCATTTTAAACCGGGAGACGACTAGTCATTCATTTAATGGGGCCAAGTCTTCTCTCATAAAAGAAAGAATTGCCACGAGAAATTTTATGCTACTACTGGAAAGTCCGAACGATTGATACTATCTAATCGTGACGAGAACATTGGAGATAAAATAAGGACACGTCGTCTATTTCTCATGGAAGAGATTATTTACAGGTTACATATTGGCTCCTATAAATTGACTAAATTATAAATTAGTCTCTGTTGCGAAACAAATTAAATGTAGTTCCTGTAATTCCAAAATCTAATTAATTAGTTTTAACAATATTGAACATACGTAATTTTTTTTCAAAAAATGTTTCTCGTCAATCTTTCCACGTCATTCTCTTACTTCCTTTTTTTCCTTAAAAAAAAACAAAAAAAAATTGAAATAAGCAAAAATATGATTAATTATTTTTAAAACTAAAGAGACTAATTTATATTTTACACCTTATTAAATTTAGTTTTTTTTTTTTAATTCATTAGAAGTATGTGAATTTTTATACTACACAATGGATATAATCTTTCTTCATTACGTAATCATCAAAAAAATTTAAAATCATTAAAACTTGAACCTTATTTTATTAGAAAAAACTAATTAAACTAAATGTGCTTGTGTTAAATTTAGTAATATTTGAAATAGGATGATTTGTTTTCATAAGTATGAGTTAATCCAATCCATTGCAAACAAAACATTAAAAAAATCAATAAATCTTCAAACTTAAACTAAAGATAGAAATATTTGTTTATAAAGTTTAGGCATAGACACAAATTGATAACCTCGACACAATGCGTCGTTTAAAATATCATAATATGACAACCATCATCAAATTCTTCGGACATTATCATCTTTATGATGTCTTTGTTAATAATCTTTAGATTCATGAAACAGAGTATATTAATACTATAGGAATTATCCTCTTTTTTGCTTTGGTTTTACCATTCTTTAAAATTTTCAATTTCATGCTTCAAAACGATAAAAAAAAATGCTCTCAAAAACTATTTGACTGATTAAAAAAAAGTCAGCAAATATGTAAAAAAAAAAAATGTCATTACGATGCAAAAAGGAACCGTAACTATTACATGGAATCTCGATTCTACATTTCCGTTCATGGGAAAGAAGTAAAATTGTTCATTTATTATCCAAAGCAAGCGAGAATGTTTACTTGACCATCTTTCAACAAAAGCAAGAGCTATGGAAACTTCACTTGGTTGCCAATATGAAGGGTCATTCGATAGTTCAATTAAGTGCAACATCCAATGGTATCCGCATCTTGTCCTGTCGCTAAATGTTACAACAATCCACTATTTTATTTATTTATTTATTTATTACTATAAATGATTTATCGGGGATAGAAGAGAGGTAAACTTTACTTGAGAGATTTTCACGTGTTAAGATATATTTCCTCCTCCGAGTGAACCTTCCTCCCACTAGTCAATACACATTTCAATCTCCTCCTTCAAAAGTTTCCATGGAATACCAATTTCTTTTGCAATATGTTTTATACTATTTAGAAATTCTAAAACCAAAATGCACGTAATGGATGAAAGTGATTGTGAAAATGCAATCCAAAATTACATTAAAAAATTCCATAAAAACTATACTAATATAAGACTTATATAATATATATTGATATTGTTATGGACGAGAGATCTTAATGTTGAAATATTTTTTAATAAAATATTAAAAACTATATTTATTATATTATTTATTTAAGAAGAAAAACTGAAAAGAATATGACTATTTTGAAACAATCATAAAAGGAGTACATGACTTGTTTTAAAACGAGTCATTTGTCCAATTTAATGTTAAAGAAAAACGGTTCCATGATCGTCCGTGTGCCATTGATATTAAAATTTATTTCAACATCTATTCTCTCAAACCGCTATCTTTTGGTAGCATATAAATATGATGTTTTTTTCTTGTCATTATATACACAACAATTCGATCTTGTTTAGAGAGAAAAAATATCAACATTTTTTTCTTTATTTCGATTAAGGAGAAAAATACTTCTTTTAATTTTATTTGCTTTTGCCTCTCACTAAAAAAGTCATATAACTTTTTAGTTTTATGTTTGGGTAAGAGTAGTGCTAATTTTATTTAGAGTTTCATATCTTACAAGTAGTGCAAATTTGTTAAGGCACGAAAAAATGATCGAGCTTGTTGTATCTTTGAGATGACGTGTAAAATATTCTTGATCCGTTGCATCAAATAAATTATGTGGATGGCGTGCATCATCTCAAGAAAGCAACTTAGTTGTGCCTCGAGTCGATCACCTAAAAAATATGATAAAACTTTTTTGTTGGTTTTATCATTTTTACACCGTGAAACATGATAATGTGATTTTAATTTCAAATTCTTTGACGATAAAGGTAAAAAAATTTAGTTCTTTATTTATTTATTTTAATTTATAATAAATTTATTTATTTATTGTGTTAATTTTTATTATTTAATTATGTTTCTTTTGTGTGCTTGGGAACAACATTTAATTTATATAAAACAACGGAGCATTGATGACTTGGCTAGTTGTTTTATTTATAACACATAAAAGCTCAACATGATATTGATTTTTTTTGCTATTAAAACCAACAAACGAAGAGAGAAAAGAAACATTTGCTAAAGACTATTAAAACCAACAAATGAAGAGAGAAAAGAAACATTTTGCTAAAAAACAAGAGAGCTTGACTTCTTACCCGCTCTTTTATCATGAAATGACTTTTTTTATCTTTTTATTTTTTAAAAAAATTTATCGAGTTTCTTAAGGATTAGGATCGATCGGATTTTGACCTGCGTTTCGCTACGGTATGGGTTTTTGTTTTTTTATTTTTTTATGTTGCATGTTTTAAATTCTCGTTGTATTATTTTTCCTATGATTTTTGGAGTAATTTTATAATACATTAGGAGTAACTAGTGGCATGTATAGTAGTTACTATATGGGCCCACTTTGAAGAGAGAGATAGACACAAAAAAAGAGAGAAAATAAAAAAAATTGAGCGGACGTGGAAATCTTCTTATCACTTTTGGTAGGTATGGATGTAATTTTACTATTTTTTTGTGTGTCTATCTCTCTCTTCAAAGTGAGCTCATGGAGCAACTATTGTACATGCCACTAGTTATTCCTAGTGTATTATAAAATTTCTCCGATTTTTGTTTTCCTACATAAAAAAGGTTAATATGTTATGAATTTTGAAATAATAGTTATGAAAGCTAGTAACTAACTACTTAACATATATTAATTTGTTGATTACTATTTTTGTTTTTATATGTTTAAAACACATAAATGTTGTTTGATGATGGTATTTAAAATGGAATCAAAGTTTTAATCATTCATTAAAAGGCATAAGTAGAATGGTTCATAGCATGAATATATAGAAATAAAAAGCATTTTAAGAAACTTTTTAGCTATTATTGTTTTGATGTCTTTATTTTCATCATCGTCAAAGACATGGGTTGAGCCCAAATTAATGTTGAAAATAGGACTAGGAAATGCAGTAGTGACGGATGCAAAATATTTTTGTTTTGCCAATTTTTTCTAGGAAAATTTATGGGATGTTGTCTTGAGAACTAATTCCACGAAGCGGACTAATGGCTTTCAAATTATTTTACTTGATTTTTGTTCAATGAAAATGAAGCCACCGATGGCTTCGTGACTTCCCACTTATGTGGACGAAGCCATTAGTGGCTTTCAAATTATTTTATCTTATTTTTGTGCGATAGAAATAAAGCCACCTATATGGATAAAGTCGTCGATCGCGTCCAAGTTATTTTAACCGATTTACGTCCGATAAAGAGAAAGTTGTTGGTGGCTTCCCATCAATGTGGATGAAACCGCTATTAGCTTTCAAATTATTTTACTTGTTTTCTATTTGATGGAAATGAAATAATCGATGGCTCCCCACCTACGTGGTCAAAATCTTCAATAGCTTCTAAATCATTTTACTTGATTTATGTTCAATTAAAATGAAGTTGTCGGTAGTTTCTCACTTGTATAGACAAATTCATCCGTGGCTTCTAAATTTTTCTTAATGTTCTTGTTGTTTTATGAATCGAAGTTGTCATTGGCTTCATACTTATGTGATGAGTCGTTAATGACTTCCTAAACTTGATCCAAAGTCGATATTGGCTTCCCATATGTATGAGCGAGGTTGTTGGTGATTTTTAGAAACTCACCTATCTAATGATATAGGTTTGCGTTCAATAAAAATTAGTCAAAATTCTAATCTCTACTCACCTCTCCTTTTTTGAGTATAGGTATTGGCTCATGATCGGCTCGAATCCGAATTACTCTACCATTCCTTTCCAACAAAATAATTCACTCAAATAGACATAAAAAATAAAAAAATAAAATTATATTTTTATTTTCGCATGCATTCAATGCGAGTCTACCTCGGGTATGATGAAATAACAACAATGTCATATTTTCTTCATACATAACCTACCTTTTATCCTTATATCTATGTAGATAGTTTGTTTTAAGGTTTCCTACTTCTCCTCGATAGCTAAGTGATGACTCCATTCCCATGTGTCCCGAGAGCACACTCGAAATTTGTCCGTGTGAATGGTCAATAAACAGGAAAACCATCACCTATTTTAGTTTCTTTTATAATGAGTTTTACAAGAGAAAGAAAAAATAAAAAAAATAAGAACACCAAGTTACGTTTAAACCTTTTGAAAATTATAACTTATTATTGAAATATTTTTTAGGAGAAAAATATATCATAACCAAAATATACTGCATTATTTTTTAAATCATTGCATAAAACTATTAACATTTTGTATTACGATAATCATTTAGTACTTTTAGATGAGAAGATATACTTTACGATTCATAAGGACTAATTTTGTTTTTCAAAAAGTATGAACGAACCTACTTTCTCGTAAAAATTATACGAGTTTTAGTCGTTGTCGTTTTATGCTTTACAAAATGACAAGTGTTTGTATTATTATTTTTTTGTCTATAAAAATCGCTATTAAAAGTTGGTTAGTTAAAATTTATAGGTGATTTTTATTAAATTTATTAATTTATAGTATTTATTAATTCGAATGAAAAGTAATTAATTATTAAGATATGAGACATTGTTTTTTGTTTTATTATTCGTTGCATATTGAATAACTATTCTTTTCTTTTAAAAAGTTTTTATAATCTTTTTTTTTAATTTTATCACCATCTTACCAAAAGTTGTGTCATGTTAAAAAAAAATAAAAGAAGAATAAGAAAAATAGAGCATATAGATTTTGCCATTTTTTGAATCTTTTTATCCAAGCTATAACTATGAGACAAAAATGGTCTTCAAGAAAAAAAAGGAGAATGAGGTCCAATTATAAGGATATTAAAAGTTGAAGGACTTAAAAATTAATTAATCATAATTTCTTTAGACAATTGAGACTAGTTAGAACGACACGTAGCAATAAGGCGAAATAAGCAAGCTATTTGATGGAAATGAAGCCGTCGGTGGCTTCTCACTTATATGGTCAAAGTCACTAGTAGCTTTCAAATCATTTTACTTGATTTATGTTTGATTAAAATGAAGATGTCGGCAATTTTTCACTTATGTGAATGGAGCCACTAATGGTTTTTAAATATTTTTTAATGTTTTGCTATTATGCGAATCAAAGTCTTTAATGGCCTTCACTTATGTGATGAAGTTATTGGTGGTTTCTAAGTCATTTTACCTAATTTTTGTTTGATGCATGAAGTCGTTAGTCGCTTCTCATCTATGTGGACAAAACCACCATCGGTTTTCAAATCATTTTACTTGTTTCTATTTCATGGAAATGAAGTCGTTGGTGGCTTCCCATCTATTTGGTCAAAGTCGCCGGTAACTTCTAAATCATTTTGCTTGAATTATGTTCGATTGAAATGAAGTCATCACGGTTTCTCACTTGCAAGGATGAGGTCGCTAATGGCTTTCAAATATTTTTTGATGCCTTGTTGTTATGTGAATCAAAGTCATTGATGGCTTTCTACTTATGTGACGAAATGATTGGTGGCTTCCTAAACTTTATCCGAAGCCGACAGGTGACTTTACACTTGTGTGAGCGAAGTTGTTGGCAACTTCTCATCCATGTCAATGTAGACTCGTCAATTTTTAAAAACTCACTTGTTTAATGTTATAAGTTTACATTCGTCAAATATTAGCAAAAAATCCAATCTCTATTCATCTCTCCCCTCTGAGTATAGGTGTTGGCCCATGACCAAGCTCGAACCTCGAATTACTTTGCTAATCCTTCTCGACAAAATAAATTAACTCAAATAGGTATAAAAACATAAAATAATAAAATCAGATTTTCATTTTTGTATGCATTCAACGCGAGTCTACTTCGAGTACGATGAGATAACAACAATGTTATGTTTTCTTCGTGCGTAAACAACCCCTTATCCATATATCTCTCGCAAACCAATTTATTTTAGGGTTTCGTAGCTCTCCTTGATAGTTAGGTAGCAACTCCATTCTCGCATATCCCGGGAGCACACCGAAATTAGTCCGTGTGAACAATCAATGAAAAAGAAACTATCACTTTTTTAGTTTCTTTTGTAATAAGTTCTATAAGATAAAGACAAAAATAAATAAATAAATAAATAAAATAAAATAAAATTAAGAACATCAAGTTACATATAAAAATTTTGAAAACTATAGCTTATTATTGAAATCTTTTTTTTAGGGGAAAAATATATCAAAACCAAAATATATTGTGATGTTTTTAAAATCATTGCAAAAAATTGTTAACATTTTGTATTACACAATCTTTTAGTACTTTTGGACGAGAATATATACTCTATGATTTATAGGAACTAATTTTTTTTTCAAAATATATAAACGAACCTATTTTCTCACAAAAATTCGAAAAAAGTAATAGCAATATATATACGAGTTTTAGTCGTTGTCATTTTATGATTTTCTAAATGACAAGTGTTTGTATTTTTTTCTTATCTATAAAAATCGCTTTTAAAAGTTGGTTAGTTAGAATTTGTAGGTGATTTTTATTAAATTTATTAATTTATAATATTTATAAATTCTAATGAAAAATAATGAATTGTTAAGATATGTGACATTGTTTTTTATTTTATTATCGCTACATTTTGAATAACTATTATTTTATTTTAAAAAGTTTTATAATCTTTTTTTTAATTCTATCACCATCTTACCAAAAGTTATGTCATGTTAAAAATAAAAATAAAAGAAGAATAAGAAAAATAGAGCATATAGATTTTGCCATTTTTTGAATCTTTTTATCCTAGCTATAGTTATGAAACAAAAATGGTTTTCAAGAAAAGAAAAAAAAAAAGAAGGGAGAATGAGGTCCAATTATATGGATATTAAAAGTCGAAGGACTTAAAAATGAATGGTCACAGTTTCTTCAGATAACTGAGACTGGTTTGAACGACACGTAGCAAAAAGGCGAAACAAGCAAAGCGAAAAACTATCTATGTTCTATTCTTCAGTCTCTTTCTTCCCCCCACCCACCCTTCCAGTGACTATTAGCTCGCAGGTAACAGCAACAGAAAAGCAAACCAAAAATCTAAAATTTCAATCCAATAAAAAATGAAAAGGAACGCGTAAAAGAAATGGAGCAAGAGCAACAAACTTGCTTCGAATGCCTTAAACGACGAATCAATTCCGATTTCTCAGACAAGCTAATATTCTCTTATGCCCTCTCCGATTCCGCTTTCCCCTTCGCCTCCTCTGCCGTCGTGCAGGTCCTTTTTCTCTTCTTCTTTTTTATTTTAACTTGATGTATTTAATTTAGCAGCATAAAAATTAAGCTTGTGTAAATGTTGTTGTCTGTGTTCGAAATGGACCAGGTGTCAAATTCTAATGGAAATTTATCGGCATTGGGTTCGGCTTCTCAGTTCATACTGGTGCAGTTGCCGAGTCAAAAACACAATTGCTTGATAGAATACGTGTAAGATCATTTTCTCACGACTTCAATCTTCTACTGATTATGATTCTTTCCAAGGCTTCAAATAGATTTATTTGTAAGCTATCTGATTTGGGTAGAGATTCGAATTCTCAAGTGAACAAGTGTTGTTGCCTTACTAACATCTTGCTAATCTCGATGATGAACAAAAAAAAAGAGATTTTGAGTATAACCGCCTGGTTTTTAATTTCACAAATAATGCTTTTGTTTCACTTTTTATTTGGTCTGAAGTGCATCATAAACTATGTAATATATCCCGTGAATCATTTGTACAACACAAACTAATCTCGAATGAATTTTTGCATCTTCTCCTTGGTAGTAATGAATGTATTCTTCAAGATAATGAAGACGGTGATGATCAGGTGATTGGTGATTACCAAGATCCGGCAAAGTTCAGTGATCTAACTGTTGGGCCAACTACATCAGATTCTTCATTAGATCAATCTCCGTGTTTGCAAAATGTTGACCAAATAGCATATGTAAATCAGACAGGATTCAGAAGTTCTATGCTTGTTCATTCTAGTAGGTTTTTGTGTATCCGAACCATACCTGCATTAGTCCCAATTGCTCATATCGGTATTTCTTCCTACTCCAACTTAGAAAGGATTGCTTCTGACCTCTTGTCTGGGTCTCTGGAAGATCATGTATTGTGCTCCCTCAGTCTACTGATTGAAGGAAAAGCTTCAGGGAGAGATGGTGTGAATTTTCTTCGATTGGTTGGGGTACCTTCATTTGAGGAGAGTGGGATCCCTGGTTGCTTGAGGCATCCAAACATAGTTCCTGTTCTTGGCTTGCTCAAAACATCTGAGTATGTCAATTTGGTGCTTCCTAAAACTCCATATACCTTAGAAAGCATTCTGCATTACTGCCCCAAGGCCTTAAAGTCTGAGTGGCATATAAGGTTTTTGGTATATCAACTGCTATCTGCGCTAGTTTATTTACATAGCTTAGGGGTTTCCCATGGTAATATACACCCATCTAATGTAATGCTAACTAATTCATGCTGGTCTTGGCTTCGTATCTGTGATAAGCCGATATCATTATCTAACGTAAGTTCAAGAAAAGGTGAATCCGATACTCCCGCTGCTTCTGCAAGATTACGCTGCTGCATGGATGGCTGTTTTTCTCAAGCACTCTATGCAGATTTGAAGTTTTCACCTTCTGTAGAGTGGCATTCTCAATTTGATCAGTGGTGGAAGGGGGAGCTGAGTAATTTTGAGTACCTGCTTGTCCTAAATAGATTAGCTGGGAGAAGGTGGGGAGATCACACTTTTCATACAGTAATGCCATGGGTAGTAGATTTTAGTACACAACCGGATGAAAATTCTGATTCAGGGTGGCGGGACTTGAGCAAAAGCAAGTGGCGGCTGGCAAAAGGTGACGAACAATTGGATTTTACCTATTCAACATCTGAAATTCCGCATCATGTATCAGATGAATGCCTTTCCGAGTTAGCTGTCTGCAGTTACAAAGCTAGGAGGTTACCCTTGAGTGTTCTACGTCTGGCTGTTCGTTCAGTGTATGAACCTAATGAATACCCCTCTAATATGCAAAGACTGTACCAATGGACTCCTGATGAATGCATCCCAGAGTTCTATTGTGATCCTCAAATTTTTATTTCTCTACACTCTGGCATGACTGATCTGGCAGTACCCCCATGGGCAGGCAGTCCAGAGGAATTCATTAAACTGCACCGAGATGCTTTAGAAAGCGAGCGGGTCTCCTGCCAAATCCATCATTGGATTGATATAACCTTTGGCTATAAAATGTCAGGGCAGGCTGCTGTTTCTGCCAAGAATGTTATGTTGCCTTCATCGGACACTGCAATGCCAAGGTCAGTGGGACGTCGTCAGCTTTTTACTCGACCACACCCTGTGCGCCGAGTTGTTGCCAGGAAGAAACATGATAGTACCTATACTGTTATGAATCAATGCCAATTAAATGTTGCAGAAAACAAGACACCTCTCCTTTCTGAAACTGCTAATTTGCAACAATTGGAGGAAATAACTGCATTTTCTGAACATGCTGGCTATTTGAGTCCTTGCTATTATTACAATCCAGAAAGCGTTGTGAAAGATGTGCCTTCTGTTAAGGAGTTGGCAAGGGAGACATCAGAGAAAAGCACATGTAAACAACTTGAAATTAGCAGAAAATATGGATTGCCACGTGATATTAATTTAAGCTTTCTTCTTGAGCATATGGAGGTGGAGGTCGAAGGTTCCATGGGATATCAAGAATTATTGCTATGGAGGCAGAAATCATCTTGCTCAAGGGCCCTTTCAGAAGATGTTGCGAAGGACATATTTTCTGTTGGTTGTGTCTTAGCAGAACTGTACTTGAAGAGGCCCCTTTTCAATTCAACTTCTTTAGCATCATACATTCAAAGTGGTATCTTACCTGGATCAATGCAAGAACTTCCTCCTGACACTAAATTACTTGTGGAAGCATGTATCCAGAAGGATTGGGCAAGGTATTGGTTTTTACCTTTTATTTTATAATAATAATAATAATAATAATAATAACAATTATTGACATCTAACGTTTTATTTTGCTCAAGATTACTTTATAACATGGTTGGAGATTTTGCTCTTATCTTCCAATGTTTTAATTGATTTTGTTTTGTATATCTTATTTATTTTATTAATATGCACATAGATCTACTTTTGCATGTGTTTGTGGCAGTGTGCCTTCATTTTAACTATATCCCTTCCTTTTTTTTCTCTTAATAATTAGGAGGCCATCTGCCAAAAGTGTTCTGGAATCTCCATATTTCCCTGCAACAGTCAAGTCTGTCTACCTGTTTATTGCACCACTTCAGCTTCTAGCGAATGATGAATCCCGTCTTCGATACGCTGCAAATTTTGTAAAACAAGGAGCATTGAAAGCGATGGGGACTTTTGCTGCTGAAATGTGTGCACCCTATTGTTTACCTCTAGCGGCAAGTCCTCAGTCAGACATTGAAGCTGAATGGGCTTATGTTCTGCTGAAAGAATTCTTAAAAAGCTTGACACCAAAGGCAGTGAAGGCCTTGGTCTTGCCAGCTATCCAGAAGATTCTGCAGGCTAGTAATCAACTTTGTTATTACGCATCTCGTTTGTGTATATAATTTTCATTTTGTACTTTGTACTTATTTAGACATTTAGTTCAGACTACAGGTTATTCACATTTGAAGGTATCTCTTCTCCAAGGTTCATTCGTGCAAGAGATATGGAACCTCATCGGTAAACAAGCATATTTGGAGACTATACACCCTTTAGTTATTTCGAATTTGTATATTGCTCCTCACAAGAGTTCAGCTGCTGTTGCTTCTGTTCTACTGATTGGCACAAGTGAAGAGCTCGGTATACCTATCACAGTTAATCAGGTTCGTTATTTGTTGAGTTTTGGTCTTTGTAATTGGTGGTAAAAGGAATAAATTTCAACAAACCCACACATACACAAATCCATCAGGACAGTCATATATATATATATATTTTTTTTTTTTTTTGTGGTTATAACATACTGACTTTTGTTCCAGACAATCTTCCCTTTGATATACTGCTTCGGGAAAGGACTCTGTCCTGATGGAATTGATGTGCTGGTTAGACTTGGTATTCTCAGTTCTTTGGTTTACAGGACTATTGTCCTTTCTGGAATTTGCATGTTTCAGCTTACTAAGATATCTTTATGCTTTGATGTTTCAGGCGGTCTTTTTGGTGAAACCTTTATTGTCAGGCAGATGCTGCCATTGCTTAAACAAGTTGCCCGTTCTTGTGTCAATGTTTCAAATACTACTAAACCTGAGCCCGTTCAGAGCTGGAGTGCTTTAGCTCTTCTAGACTGTCTAACAACATTGGATGGTCTAGTTGCCCTCTTGCCAAGGGAGGTGGTTGTAAAGGAGCTGGTTGAAGTATGGATGTTATTCTCAGCTCTCATCAAACTTGTTCTCTTCATACCGTAGATTTAAAATCCTAACAGTACATATTTGATCTTGCAGGATAGAAGTTTACATGTAATGGTTCTTACACAGACCAACTTGGAAATTTCAGTGCTTCAGGTGGTCCAAATTCTAATTTGTTTTCATAATGATGCAGGTTCTCTTGAGGTTTTTTTTTTTTTTCCTCGAACAATTTTGTAGCTTATTTGTTCCTTGTCTCAAATGTGATCCATACACATTTTTCATGCTTCAATTGTGGAAGGGCAGCTTCTACTGTTTCTACACTTGTTTGTTTTACCCTGGCATCTCTGGTCAGTGAGTTGTCTATGAGGCACCTTAAAAGTGCACTCTTTGTCTTTTGGATGCTTTGAATTGGAGAGCTGTCTCAATTGTTTCTTGTTTATGATCTGAGTGTCATTCAGTTAGCCATTTTGAAGTTCCCTCTCCTCTTTTATACGAAGTTAATGATCTTAATGTGCCATGACTTTTATTCCCACCTTTTGTTCACTCATTTAGCATGCCAAGTGATTGTATTTCTGTCTCTTATAAGCGAAGTGACCTCTCTGTTGACCAGGTCGCTGCTACTACTCTAATAGCTATTTGTGAGAGAATTGGACCAGATTTAACAGCATTGCATGTTCTGCCACAACTTAAAGAGTTATTCGATGAGCTTGCTTTCTCACACGAGACACTAACTGGCTCTGGTTCTCTTGGCCGGAACTTCAAGATTTCCAAATCAAAAGTAGATGGAGAGGCTCAAATCGGAAGCCGTATGGACCTTGTGTGAGTGTCAGTCAGTCATCCTTACCATTACCTTTTAGGAAAACTACATAATAAGCACATCGACTTTGAACTTTTCTCAATCGAGTATATCAACTTTTTTGAAAATGCCAATCAAGTTTTTCCATCCAATTTTCTGTCTAGTGATGATGTGGCAGTTAATAGAGAAGACTAAATGACTATGTTGCCTTTTTTTTTTTTTTTTGTTAAGCTGCTTTGCCTTTTTTTTTTTTAAAATTAATAATTAAACAATAATAACAAATTGGGAGGAGAAAAGGAAAAAAAAAAGGCAACATAGTCATTTAGTTTTCTCTGTTAACTGTCACACCATCACTATATGAAAAATTGAACGAAAAAACTTGATTGGTATTTTCAAAAAAGTTGATATACTGAAACAAAAAAATAAAAATTGATGTATTCGATTGAAAAAAGGTTCAAAATTGATGTACTTATTATGTAGTTTTCCCATTACCTTTCCAACAAACCCATCTTGCACGGATAGCTGAATTGCTTTTTGCATGCTTGTCTCAATCTTTAATATGACTTTGCTTTTGCTAATTTTCAGGTTGCGTTTGTATCCTTCTTTTGCATCTCTTCTTGGGATTGAGAAACTTCGCAAGTGCTGTGCCACATGGTTGCTTCTTGAGCAATTTCTTCTACGGTATCATAATTGGAAGGTACGCTGCCATTGTGCTCTTACAGTTAACATGAAACTTTTAGTATGAAAATCTGCATGACATGGATGGGCGTTTTGCATTTCATATTCTGAACCTGTTATGATTCAGTGGGAATACGCTGGAGAATCTCGGTGTGGATCTGAAAATGTAACTGCTAAAAGGCCTTCTTTGAACAAGGGTCCAACATCTGATTACAATCCTGCCAAGCTGTTACTTAATGGGGTTGGGTGGTCAATTCCACAATCACAAGGGATTAAAGGTGCAAAAAATTTGATGCCTCAAAAACGATTTGATGGCATTCCTCAAAGGCCAGTCGAAAGCCATGTAGCAACTTCAAACCTTTTGAAGTCTGAGCCCTGGTTTTGGTTCCCCAGTCCAGCTGCTAGCTGGGATGGCCCTGATTTCCTTGGCCGTGTAGGGAGTCTGAAAGAGGAATTTCCATGGAAGATTAGAGCATCTGTTATATATTCAATTCGCGCTCATCATGGAGCCTTAAGATCCCTAGCTGTTAGCCAAGATGAGTGTACAGTTTTTACAGCAGGCACTGGTCCAGGGTTCAAAGGAACTGTCCAGAAGTGGGAGCTCTCAAGATTAAATTGTGTATCTGGATATTATGGTCATGAAGAGGTTCGTATCTTCTATTGTCTCATGCCTAAGCTGTTGCCTTCTATACTGTAAAGTAAGCAATCTTGAACTCAAAAAAAGAAAAAAAGAAAAAAGATGTAATGTTCACTTGTAAACTTGCACACACAGACAATGATACTTGGACACTCAATGGAAATACAGGACAATAGTTTTCTGCATACTATATTATCAGGGGAAAGAAACAGAAGATATTAGTTTGTTCTTTTATCTGTACCTTGTAATTTAAGATTCTCACATTCTGTATGGAGTGAGGAGGGTATCACCTTATTGGTTTATAAATATAAGAACTAACACCAATGGCTCTGGTATTTTCAAATTCTTGAGTCTGTAACTTTAGTTTCAAGTTTCCCATAGTTACCAATTCTTGTTGATTATTAGCTTTGAATTGATGTTTGTCACACCTTAAGCTCTTTCAATTTTAGGTGCTATGTTGTTTCCTATGGCTAATTGCTTATGCTACTCTTAGGTTGTGAACGACATTTGTGTATTATCATCGAGTGGGAGGATTGCATCTTCTGATGGAACCATTCATGTTTGGAATAGTAGAACAGGGAAAGTGATATCAGTTTTTGCTGAACCATCAGTTGATTCTGCACATGTTTCAAGTCCTTTATTATCGAAGACAAACGATCACCATTCAAACATGCTGAACTCTAATACTCTATCAAGTGGATTATTGAACAGTGCATTTGATGGGAGCTTATACACTTGCATGCATTATTTAGAATCTCTCGAAAGGCTTGTGGTCGGCACTGGAAATGGTTCCCTCAGGTGAATTTTTCGTTGTGATTCCAGTTTGAGCTGATGCGGAAAACAAAGTCTTATGTTGATGCAGTTAACAGTTTAAAAATTTTCCACAACTGCACAGGTTTATTGATGTTTCCCGAGGTCAAAAGCTTCATTTTTGGAGGGGTGAATCTGCTGAATTTTCTTTTCCTTCCCTTGTCTCTGCCATATGCTCACATGGATCTGACAAAATGCCAGCAGAGGGAGCTTTTGCTCCACCATCTTGGGTTGCAGCTGGACTAAGTTCTGGTCATTGCAGGTTATTTGATTTGAGAAGTGGAAATGTTATTGCCTCTTGGAGGGCTCATGATGGATATGTGACAAAGGTATGATTAAATTGCCAAAGAAAAAGAAATTTATTTGAACTGGCATTCGTCTTACTTTCCATGCATGCAGTTGGCTGCACCAGAGGATCATTTGCTTGTTTCCAGTTCTCTTGACAGGACCTTGCGAGTTTGGGATCTGAGAAGGTAGTGTCAAAGTTTATTATTTGTAATATCTGAGTGCTTGAAAGTGTACTGGTAAATTGGATCTATTGTATAACCTTTGGAGCATGATTTTATTTTGAATGAATTCTATGACAATTCAAATGCCTCAACTGAACTGATGAAGCTTTAATGATATCTGCAAGGATTTAAGTATGCAGTCTTTCTTTACCCTAACAACTAGTTCTGTCCTCTAAATCAATGTTAGAACTTTCACAATCACTTCTTTCATGCTAGTCTTAGACATCCAAAATGTTTTCCATAATGTTACCTTAAATGTGATAAATTTCTCTGAAAAGTTGCTGGTCCATTCCAACTTGTTTCTGACTTGTCATTTTGTGTTGTCAAATTCTATTTTTTTCAATCTAATTGACTCTTTGATTTTTCTTGCAGGAATTGGCCACCACTACAGCCCAATGTTTTAAGAGGTCATACAGATGGTGTATCTGGTTTCTCAGTTTGGGGTCAAGACGTTATTTCCATTTCCAGAAACAAGATTGGGCTTTCCACTTTATCTAGATTTACCGAAGAAGTACGTTAATAGCCTTTTAGTTCTAACCATGCTCGTTTAAGTACACAACTTACATCAAATCAATGAATATATTTTCATATTGTTTCTTCTGTTGAATGCCAGGCCCTGTATTACATAAGAACAAGATGAAATTACATGCTTCCAATATCCCCATCTCATCTCATCTAAGAACATGATGAACATATTCGGCTTTGTGAATGATTTAATTTTCATCGTTGAAATGTAATGGATAAAAGCAGAAACAAGTGCCATGTGATAAATTTTTTCTGATAGCTATAGTTGTATAGTAATAGTTTGTTTTGATAATCTCTTAAAAGCATCCAAATAGACAACTGTTTCTTGTAATTAACCTCGAATTGCCTGCTATAAGAATTTTATCTAAGGCAGCTCTAGTTCTTTATCAGAATTCTCCCACTGCTTGCATCTTCCTTCTCCTCTCTCTCTCTCTCTCTCTCTCTCTCTCTCTCTCTCATTTATTTTCAATGAATTCCATTCGGCAGGATGGGCAGCAGCGGATTATACCTCAGAAACTATATGCGGCAGATAATGGAACAAAAAACGTCTCAGTATTATCGAGTATAAATATTCTACCTTTCTCGCGATTATTTGTAGTTGGAACAGAAGATGGTTATTTGAGAATTTGTTGTTAGATGTGCCTGCTGCCAAACCCAGTCTGTTCTTTTTGATGCTGTATGGTAGAGGTAATACTTTTATTATTACTTTGTAACTAATGATCCCGTTTGTAATTTTTTTTATTGTAAAGGAAAGTTATTAGTTTTCTATGGTCTGAGATAAAGAGAGAAATTCATAACATTTTAGCAAACTGAAAAATCGTGTCTCGTCATTTGGTAACATGGCTAGCTGTTGATTGCATGAAAATAACAAAAGAAATCAGGGTCAATGCATAATTAAGCATTTTACATGCTGCATGCTTCTACGTCAGATGACTCGGGCAGATATGCATGATGAATCTACCACATTTGTTGAACAAGAAACGGGAAACAACTTGAGAGGTATAAACTGCTTAGTCCAAGGCCGCAGAGGGCTCTTCTTTAATCGTGAAGATATCATTGTAAGTCATCCATTCATGGTGTATTTCCCAGGATTTTTCTTTTTTCGTTTTCTGAAAATGTAAAAAGAAAAATCTCGTACGTTCTTTTGACAATATTAAGCACGTTCTGTTTATGTGCTGTTTGGTCTTTTGAAGTTTGATCGTATGGTCATAACAGACTAGGACCTGGTTTGGAAGTGCTTTGATGCTCCCAATTTGATTGAGCTGCTCTGTAGGCTGTAGCTACAATTTTTATAGCTTGGGGTTTGACTGGAGTCACTGGACGTATCATCGTGGGCCATGAAGCCAGTCTAAATGAGAAGAACCAATAGCTGCTGTTTTCTTAGACAAGCCATCTTGCAGCTCAAGACGATAATTTACTCCAGTCGAGGTCGAATCCTCAAAGCTTTTCGACATATTATTCGAATGTCAATCAAGTTTCAAGCTCTTACCTTTTTATTTTAACAATTTTATCTCAAATTTGATTGTTATTAAACAATATTATCTTTTTATCCATCAAGTGTTAACAACAATTAAAAGATTTTGTTTAATGCATGGGATCATTAAGTGCTTTTTTATGATCTGATACTAAAATTGTTCTTCAAGACAAACATAGGTTTATTGTCACACTTTGGATGGAGGTGTTTAACCATCACATGTACAAATTGGATAGAATTTTGGATTTGACTGGACATATCATAGTGGGCCATGAACCTAGTCGAAATGAGAAGGACCAATTGGCGTTGTTTTCTTATATTTCTTCAGCTCTTAGACAAGCCATCTTGCCGTCCAAGACTTTAATTTACTCCAGTCGCGGTCGAATCCTCAGAGCTTTTCTTTAGGAAAGCCTCAATTTAGCCCCTGTTACATATTATTCAAATATCAATTAAGTTTTAAGTTTTTTTATTTTCATACTTTATCTCAAATTTGATTGTTATTCGACAATGTAATCTCTCAATCCATCTGCTAGTAAAAGATTTTGTGTAATTCACGTAATCCTCACGGGCCTTCATTTAGGGCGTAAAACTGCCCAATCTGTCCTAAAAACAATTTTAATTTGAAACCATAGTAAATTTCTCCCCACTTCAGTAGAACAAAATATGTTTTGGTCTGATGCTAAAATTGTTATGCTAAAAGGATCTTTTTTTTTTTTTTTTGAACTTTAATTCATTTAAAAATAAGCTTTTTAGATTTAGATTTTTTGTTTTGATTTTTCTGAATTTTATTTTTTTGAGATTTAATTTGTCTTGTGATTTTTAGCTATCACCATCTCCTTTTAAAAAATTAATTCTCGATATTTTGATATGAAATTTTGTGCACACTGTAAAAAATTCATTTTATTTTCTATAAAAATTCCAATTTTTTTCAAGGTCCAGAATTATATTTGTTTATGTTTTAAACGTTAAAAATATAAAAAAATTAGAAAAAAAACCCGAAATGATTTCATATTTTCTAGAGAGCTCTAGATAAATACCATTAAATGATTTTCATCATGAAAATATTTATGTAACTGTTTTTTTTTTTTTTTGGAATAAATGACGGAAAGCTGAATGATAGATTAAATTTAAAATAAAATAAAATTCAGAAAGGTCAAAATACAAATTTAAAGTTCAAGAACTCCTTTTCAATAGAATTAAGTTCATAAGAGATTTTTTTTTAATCTTTTTAGCCAAATTGTTATCTATAACATATTTAGGATTTATTTTACCATCTTAGTTGGAAGTATTTAACCATCACATACGAGTTTTTAAGATTTTTTAACTTCCACTAACATTAATGTAGCCTTGAAGAGATAATAGTATATAGTGTAGAATACATTTGAAGCAAAATTAATAAATCAAATGGTTTGAAACTAAAAAAAAATGATGATAGGAGCTTAAAGTGAGATTCAAGTAACAATTAGCTTCAAGTTCCATAATTTTGGATCTGTCATCGCAATCATGATTTTCCTATATCAAAAGGTAAAAATCCTCTTTTTAGCTAATCGTGGGAGAGAAGGGATTCAAACTCTAACCCTGAGATCGTGGTTCAAAGTCACATGCTTTAATCCTTTGACCTACGAAAATTTTTATAATAATGAAAGAGTAATTAACGTAAGTTATTCTATAGAGAAAGATAGACACGATAGGAATAGGAAAGAGAGAATGAAAAAAAAATTTGTATCTTTTTTCAAAAGTAGGTTCATGAAATAACTATTATACATGAATTCTAATAACTCTTTATATATTATAAAATTTCTCTCCAGAATTTGGTCTAGAAAATATCCTAAATAAAGAACATTTCAGCTCATCTATATTAGATTTGTTCTAAAAAATACCTTAAATTTTTTTTTCATCTTCCCAGTGATTTCATTTTGAGTCAAGAAGATGCAAAAGCACTTCTTTCTCTATAAGAATGGTGAGTTCTTATCTTTTACAAATAAATAAGACTAAATAGATCAAATATTTTTTGAATTTTAATTTATTTAAAAATTATTGTTTAAACTTTTAATTTCAGATTTGGTCTTCAATAAACTTTTTTTTTTAAGATTAAGTTAATTCTATGATTTTTATCTATCATTTTTTTAATAAAAAATTTCAATTCTTTATATTTGAATTGATATTTTACACGTATGTTAGAAAAAATCTAAATTATTTTTTTAACATTAAAAATGTAAAAAAAAAAAATTAGAAAATAACAGCGAATTATCTCAGATTTTTATTTTTTATTTTTAAGAAGGCCATTGACAGAAACCTAAAAACTGAACTATTTTTTTTTTTAAAAGTTCAGATAATTAAAATTGAGAGACTTATTTTTAAATAAACGAAAATTCAGGCGAGTTTGATCCATTTAAACGATATATAAATAATGAAAAACCCTCCCAAATGTAATGGTTTAATGACTCGAGGACGGGTGTCTTTATTCTCTATTAAACCTGAGAATTGAGCTCTCCCTCTCTCTGTAGATGCAAGCAATGGCCAGTGAAGATAGTAGTAATTTTGCAGCGCTGAAGACCTCCATGGAAAAACTCAACGTACAACCATCATCATCTAGCCAAAACGACGAAGCTGCTGCTGTTTCTGATAACGGCGTGGAGGTTACTTGCTTCACGGAGGTCCTCGATGACGTAACCCTTCACCTCCAGATTATCCATCTCGGCAAACAGGTAGTTTATAAATTAATCGTTACTTAAGTTTTTGTAATTAATTAAGTCTCCCTTTTTTAATTAATTAATTGATTGTAGATATATGCATGGATTGGTTGCAATTCTGGTAAATTAGGTCACTTGTATGCTGCTGCACCCACTCGCCCTGTAAGTGCCACTGCTTCGCCTTTAAAATGAGAACTCCTCTTTTGATTTTCAATTTTAGTGAGGTTTTTGTTTTTGTTTTTTTATTATTAGTTTTTGATTGATTTTGTTGTTGTGCGGTTTGCTTTGTTGATGTATTTCAAGAATAATACGGCAAGTGTAACTTGTGTACTCGGAGGAAATTCTGATAATACAGGAACTGGCATTGCTCGACGATTAGGTAGGTTTTATTATGTTATTAATTAAAAGTTTGATGATTATGGGACTAATTTTTAAATTTTTTTTGGGGAAAAAAAAGCTGAGACATTGTGTTTTTTTTTTTCTTTTTTTTTTTTGTAGTGTTGAAGACTGGACTTAATATAATGTTGGCTTCTAACGTTCCTAAGAACAGTCCCTTGCTTGAGGTCAGCTCTCTTTCTCTCTCTCACGCATGCCCACAAGCATGTGCGCATAAACAAGAATCCTGATTGCGTCTCTTGCCATAGCTATGGCCCTGTGCAATGTTCATGAGGATAGATGTAGATAAGTAGTTATGAAAATAATATACCTTTAAAATCTTGAGAAAAGGAAAAATTTATATTCATCTGATGAGTTCGATATAACATTGTGCAGGTCAAAAGAGTGTGATTGAGATTGTATTCAGTGAGGAGAGGTTGATGGTAAAATATGAGCGAAATAGTACCTGAAAAGCAATTTTGATAGTTGACAAAGTCTAAAGTGATGTTCTTTGTGGAATTCATGGAAATTTCTGCATGACTACTTCAGAAGCATGACTATATTACACAAGGAAGAAAAGGTTAAACTGATGCTGAACCTAAAAGGTGACTGAGCAATATAAGTGCTGAAATTATGAATAATTGTAGCATGAGACCTACATGTTACTGAAAATAATTTGGAGAAATTTAGGGAATTCTAATCTGGTATTCTTAGAGAAATGTTTTGTTTTTATAGCATATTTAACAGATGCTGGGTATTTCTAAAAAAGCAATACCAACATTTTAAGGTAATAGGAATCTAAAAGTAAGAAACAGTGAATACTTGGGCTTCCATCTGTATAGGTTTTCGTATTATCTGCAATGTCATCTGATCAATATTTGTTGATCTTAACTAAATAGTTATCTCTGTCACTTACATATATTCACGAGTTAGCACACTGAAAGTTCTCTTCATACTTTTTTGATGTCTTGATGTTGTCTTTCTTTTGGGTTTTTAGGCAAATGCTGAGAAAAAATTGGTGGAGAAGCTAATACATTTGGGGTATGCAATGCCAAAATCCAAAGGATCATCCTCGTAACAAAGAGCTGGGAAGATGCTACAATGTGATAAAAAAGATATCTTGGGTTATAGTGGTTCGCATCGCATGGTATGCCAAAGTAGATCAAATTTTAGATCAAGTTAGAGAGTCTTAACTCAATCTTACTGATAGAGAGTGTCTATTTGCTTCCCTGTATGGCCACAGAAATTGAATAGTAAAACAGTGGATCGTGAGAATTCCAATTGCCTATAATTTCAGAAAGACTATGAATATTAGCACAGTGGATGGACATGTATGGTTGTGTACCACAGTTTTTTTACTTATATTATGAACTTTGGTGGCACAAACTCTATCATGTGTTTTTCTCCCTATTAAAATCTGAATGCTATTGGTTGGGGAACATCAAATTTTAATCTGAATGCTAGTATTTTTGGCTTACTAGATATTGATATTACAACATACAATGTGAACTGCTGCTGAATGAATTTATTTTTTCAATATTTACTTTCTGTAAGACTCTACATATATCGTTCCTTTTTGAAATGCCAGTAGTGTAGATCTCCGGCCTCCAAAGAGCCAAATTTTGAGCTTTTTGAATGAAGCTGCCTAGCAGTTTAGTAGCGCACTGTAGAATAGGAAAAATGCAGCTGTAGTGAGCGAAGGTTCCTATTGCATACTATCTTCTCGTATACATTGATATGGACCACATTTTTTGTCATTAGAGAGAGTCTTGGAGTGGATAACTGGAAAGCTAGTCCTCCCCAATATGGAGTGCCTTTTCTGATATCAATCAACCTGGTGCAGTACCTGTTGGGCAGCATCCATTAGATCACTAGGTTGGATGTGAACTTCTAAATTCTCAAGGTTCATCTTTACTTGTCCAAGTTATTGATGTATATGTCTTAAGCAAGTAAGAATATGCCTATTTTAAATGACAAAGAAGAATTGTAATTTTACGGGCATGCAAAGCATATTTTAACCGAATGCCTTGGGTTTCCGTTAGAGGTTTTCCTGTAGCTAAGATGCAATCACTCTCCCCCAAAGCTACTTGCATAATAAGCATGTTGTTGTGTTCAAGTCGAGTAAGATTCCAGTTTGCAAGGAAACAATACATGGTATATTTTACAGACGTGTTTTGCATCTGCAAGCAGAGAATCGATCCTGTTTCCTGTTTCAAAAGTAATCTTTATTCTGGCAAAGGGTAATATATCTTCAAAACAACTTCTAAAAGTTTCAAGCAAAGGGTAATATATCCTCAAACGACTCGTAAAAGTTTCAAACAACTACTTTCTCTTTTTTCTTACAAATAGGGGAACAGCTTTTTGGCTTTCACCCCTGTATCCTGCACATTTTTAGTGGAATTTGTTGCCAAGAAAGATATTGTCGCCATCATGCCAGATGATGTCAGCAATATCACTCCTCCTCCTGGTATTTACCCCTTTCCTCCACTTTTTTTCTCATGGACTAACATCATGTTCTATGACCTAACTTTTTCGCTGCTAATTACTGCCGAGATTATTGTCTGTGACCTTACCCTCTCTTCTATACAATGTTCTCCCTCAAACACTATGCCTTTTCGTCCAGTGAGCCAATTTTCTCTAATAACCAAACCAAAGAGTGATCAAACTTGTTGCAAGTGCTGATATCAATTTTTTTTTCCAGGTGCTTTAGCATCCATATCCGATGCATCACCCGTCCATTACATAGTTAAAATGGAGTCATTTTCGTTAGTAACGAAAAATGCAGTGGAGAAACATGAATCGGGGGTTTTTGAAGCTGGAGGCTACAAATGGTACTTTTTCTTGCTAGTTAAATATTTATCTTTTTTGTCTTCTCATCCCCATCTGCAGTCATGTTTTGTTGGGAGATGCCCTTCGCGGTATTCTTTTTTATGTTTATTCTGTCCTATGTTTTCGTTGAAAGGAAATTGGTTCTTTATCCAAATGGAAACAAGAGCAAGAACGTAAAAGAGTACATCTCTCTCTATGTAGCAATGGTTGACACAAGCTCTCTTCCACTTGGTTGGGAGGTCCATGTGATTTTCCGGTTTTTTTGCTTGACCAGAACAAGGACAACTACTTGGTAGTTCAAGGCATGTTTTCTAAATCATTACTTTGCAATAGATCCTCAAGCTGTAGTCATTAATTTATTTTTATTTTTTTTAGTGTCACCAATTAAAGTTATGCATCGTTATCTTTGTAAATTGGGTGACAAGCAAGATTTTCTTGCAATGGTTTTCTTCAATCACTCGAGTAATTTAGTCTGATTCAAGAGAAAATGATGCCGCTCTCTAATGTTTTGGCCTTGTTGCCGAGGTTAGATGCAGCAGGAAAGGAAACACGTTTCCATGGATTGAAGTTTTCGTGGGGTTTTGATCAGTTCGTTAAGCTTTCAACATTTAATGATGCTCGTCATGGGTTCCTTCTGGACGACAGTTGTGTGTTTGGAGCAGAAGTATTTGTCCGCAAAGAAAGAAGCAGAGGCACAGGAGAGCTTTTATCAATGATAAAGCAACCCGATCCTTTCGAGTACACTTGGAAGATCAAAAACTTTTCCAAGTTGGATGAAAAACGTCAAGAATCAGAAATATTCAGCATGGCAGATCAAAAATGGTATCTTTGTTATTATTTTTTTAATCTTTGATCTTAATTGAAAAAATCTTCAGAATGTGCTTTAGGAGGCCAATGTTTCTCTTCCATTACATTATAGTACTCCACATGCTAGGCCAAACAATAGCTGAGTGTTTAGAACGAAATTTACCATTGTATAAGCCAACTCTTGGTGATTCTTTCGTGAAGAAATGCTTGGCAGATAGTATATTTACACAAGTATCAAAACATATGTATATATTCCTTCTGCTATTAGTAGCACTTCTGAATTTCTTTTCTTTTTCCTCTACTTGTTGTTTCAGGAAGATAGTGCTCTATCCCAAGGGAAAAGGTCGTGGAATGGGCACCCATCTTTCTCTGTACTTGGCTTTGGATTTGGCAACCCTCCCTACTGGTTACAGACTATATACGGAGTACACCTTGCGCATTCTGAATCAATTCTGGGGGAGGGAGTCAGATCGTTATGTTAAAGGTAAAAACACAAACGAGCTCTTTGCCTGGAAGATTATACAGCAGAGGAGATTCTTGGATTTTATATTTTTTTCTTTTCTGTCGATGAAAAAAGAGTTCAGATTGTTTCTTCGACTTGCAGCTAAACACTGGTTTGATGCCTCAAGCTCAGAAAGAGGATGGGCAAGATTTATTTCACAGGATATTATTTATCAGCCAAACGGATCCTATGTTGTGAAGGACACTTGCATAGTAGAAGCAGAGGTCACTGTCCTGGGAATTGTTTCTGCCTTTTAGTTATGATTATTATTTTAAGATGAATGTCATGTAAATAATTTCGGTTGACTTTATTAATGGCAAGGATGAATTTAAAACACTCGTGTACCATGTGTCATTTGCTCGGAGAGGCTGTACAACATCTAATTTGGGGAATCATTTATGAGAAATTATATGCAACATTAGAGGGGAGTTTGAAAATTTTAAAACTCTCGGAGGCCAAAGCCACTCATAACTCCCTTAGGTTCCGTTCTGTTGGTGTGTATTGTCAATCTTCTTGTCATTTGTTCAGTAAAAATTTTATAATACATAAAAAAATAATTAGTAATATGTATAATTGTTATTTAATAAATTTGTTTTGAAGAAAAAGATAGACACATAAAAAAAATAAGAGAGAAAATTTTAAAAAATTATATCAACGGTGAAAATATTTTCATCATTTTTTATGAATTCGAATATAATAATAATTATTTTTTATATATATCTATCTTTTTTCATAAAATAATTATTATACAAATCATTATTTACTTATTGTGTATTATAAAATTTCTTTTTGTCCAACCTTGCAACTCTCAACATTTTTTTGCAAGCCATTCATTCACGTTGTCAAACATTATGTTGTTGTGCCTCATCAAAACAAATTTTATTGATCTCTGTATTGTGTTTCCTTGACCATCATTCAAACCAACGGCCAAACTCATTTTTTTATTTTGAGTTCTTAAACCAATTTTATGGTATTTTACGATTTCATCCATATCTTCTCTTTAGAGATGTTAAGTAGTCCAAATCATTTTTAAATTTTAATTTGAAAATCAATCATTTAACTTCTAAATCTAATTTTAGATTGAATATTTTTTTTAATTATTTTTATTTTAAATTGATCATCAATATGAATGACCAAAGTACATATAACTTGTATTTTATTGACTTTTTAACTTTCACAATATTAAAAACTGTATTAAAACTTATGAATGCTATACTATATATATATATATTTTCCAAAACTTGTTTATTTTCTTCTAAAATATTTTATAATAGCTTATTTCTTGACAATTAAAAGATAGAAACTAGATTTGGAAGAAAAAATAAGTTTTGATATATTTTTAGTTGTTGAGTAATTGCAAAAATCTAACTGAAGGATTCAATTTTAATTTTTAAAAAGATGTAATTTGAAATTAAAAAATTAATTTTTAAATGATTTAAAATTCAGAAAGCCTTTTTCATTCGTTTAAAAATCTAAAATCCGAACCTTTTTTAACAAAGTTTTCCTTGTTTTTATTTTTTCCTTTTTCACGAATGACAAAAATCCAACCGCCGTCCATGAGGACCAGGACTCTTTTTTTAGCGGATCTTGCTTTCAAGCCTCTGTCGTAACCCAAAAAACTGAAAAAGAGCCCGCAAGGTCAAAAGTTCCCAGACCGTAGTCCCGTCCGGGGAAAAATATAAAAACAATTTGTACGTAATGTTCTTAAGTCTCTGATAAACCCTCTTCAGAAGCGCCTTTCCAGATTCTGTCCTTTTATATGTAATGAACGCGTTGCCTTAATCCTACAAAAAAAAAAAAAAAAAAAACAAAGGGAGAAACACAGAAGAAAAAACAAAGAGAGAGGAAGGACGACACGTGTGCAACACTAGCGGAGCCATTTGAGTGGGTGGGCTATGGAGCTCGCCGTCACCAAGAAGTTTGCTCCAGCTCCGTTTGCTCGCCTTTGCTTTGTACGCAATGATCATCGTTGCTTCACTTTCAAGATTGATTACCATCTTGTCTTTTATCACCAGAGCACACACGCGCACACATATATTCTGCGCAATCCTACTTCGAATTTCTTTGATTTGATTAACTTTATCTTTTACTTTTTAAAGTATGCAAGCATTATTGTTTCTAATATACATGTAAAATGATGATATAGGTGTTTGTGGGTGAGCAAAGCTACACACAAGAACACAATTTAATCGGCATATGAACAGAGGGGATTCAGAAGTTGATGGTGATGAGATTGATAGAGGAAGTTTTCTTGGGCACCCAATTTGTGATTTATGTGGAGAGCAAGTCTATGGGAATTGTGAACTCTATTCACATTTGTCAGTTGAACATTATACCTGTCGTTTTTGCGTTAGGTAGACCTTTTTTTCCTTTTTGATTGTAAATTTGTAATTTGACTATTTGTTTTTCAATTTAGAACCATTTACATCTAATTTTCATAACAGGCAGGAAGGACCCGGGGATATCTGAGTGCCACAAGAATATGAAGATCTGGGAGGCAACTATTTCCCCCTTGCCCTTTGTTTTCCCTATTATATCTGATATGATATTTATTTAACATTATTTACTTGTCTTACAGAGGCATTTCCGCACATATCATTTCCTATGTGAGGAAGAAGCTTGCCTTGCCGACGAGTTTGTTGTGTTTATATCTGAGATTGATTTTATGGTAGGCAAACAAAACAAAACACATGGAGCCTCCAAAAAAAAAAAAGCCTCCTTGAAAATCCCCATTATGGACTGCCTTTTCTGATGTCAGTCAGCCTGGTGCAGTGCCAGTTGGGCTGCATCCATTATATCACTAGGTTGGATGTGAACTTCTAAATTGTAGTTACTTTAAATTCTCAAGTTTCATCCTTACTTTTCCAAGTTATTGATGTATATGTCTCAAGCAAGTAAGAATATGCCTATTTTAAATGACAAAGAAGGAAGAGTGATTTTACGGGCATGCAAAGCATATTTTAACCGAATGCCTTGGGTTTCCGTTAGAGGTTTTCCTGTAGCTAAGAAGCATCACTCTCCCCCAAAGCTACTTGCATAATAAGCATGTTGTTGTGTTCAAGTCGAGTAAGATTCCAGTTTGCAAGGAAACAATACATGGTATATTTTACAGACGTGTTTTGCATCTGCAAGCAGAGAATCGATCCTGTTTCCTGTTTCAAAAGTAATCTTTATTCTGGCAAAGGGTAATATATCTTCAAAACAACTTCTAAAAGTTTCAAGCAAAGGGTAATATATCCTCAAACGACTCGTAAAAGTTTCAAACAACTACTTTCTCTTTTTTCTTACAAATAGGGGAACAGCTTTTTGGCTTTCACCCCTGTATCCTGCACATTTTTAGTGGAATTTGTTGCCAAGAAAGATATTGTCGCCATCATGCCAGATGATGTCAGCAATATCACTCCTCCTCCTGGTATTTACCCCTTTCCTCCACTCTTTTTTCTCATGGACTAACATCATGTTCTATGACCTAACTTTTTCGCTGCTAATTACTGCCGAGATTATTGTCTGTGACCTTACCCTCTCTTCTATACAATGTTCTCCCTCAAACACTATGCCTTTTCGTCCAGTGAGCCAATTTTCTCTAATAACCAAACCAAAGAGTGATCAAACTTGTTGCAAGTGCTGATATCAATTTTTTTTCCAGGTGCTTTAGCATCCATATCCGATGCATCACCCGTCCATTACATAGTTAAAATGGAGTCATTTTCGTTAGTAACGAAAAATGCAGTGGAGAAACATGAATCGGGGGTTTTTGAAGCTGGAGGCTACAAATGGTACTTTTTCTTGCTAGTTAAATATTTATCTTTTTTGTCTTCTCATCCCCATCTGCAGTCATGTTTTGTTGGGAGATGCCCTTCGCGGTATTCTTTTTTATGTTTATTCTGTCCTATGTTTTCGTTGAAAGGAAATTGGTTCTTTATCCAAATGGAAACAAGAGCAAGAACGTAAAAGAGTACATCTCTCTCTATGTAGCAATGGTTGACACAAGCTCTCTTCCACTTGGTTGGGAGGTCCATGTGATTTTCCGGTTTTTTTGCTTGACCAGAACAAGGACAACTACTTGGTAGTTCAAGGCATGTTTTCTAAATCATTACTTTGCAATAGATCCTCAAGCTGTAGTCATTAATTTATTTTTATTTTTTTTTAGTGTCACCAATTAAAGTTATGCATCGTTATCTTTGTAAATTGGGTGACAAGCAAGATTTTCTTGCAATGGTTTTCTTCAATCACTCGAGTAATTTAGTCTGATTCAAGAGAAAATGATGCCGCTCTCTAATGTTTTGGCCTTGTTGCCGAGGTTAGATGCAGCAGGAAAGGAAACACGTTTCCATGGATTGAAGTTTTCGTGGGGTTTTGATCAGTTCGTTAAGCTTTCAACATTTAATGATGCTCGTCATGGGTTCCTTCTGGACGACAGTTGTGTGTTTGGAGCAGAAGTATTTGTCCGCAAAGAAAGAAGCAGAGGCACAGGAGAGCTTTTATCAATGATAAAGCAACCCGATCCTTTCGAGTACACTTGGAAGATCAAAAACTTTTCCAAGTTGGATGAAAAACGTCAAGAATCAGAAATATTCAGCATGGCAGATCAAAAATGGTATCTTTGTTATTATTTTTTTAATCTTTGATCTTAATTGAAAAAATCTTCAGAATGTGCTTTAGGAGGCCAATGTTTCTCTTCCATTACATTATAGTACTCCACATGCTAGGCCAAACAATAGCTGAGTGTTTAGAACGAAATTTACCATTGTATAAGCCAACTCTTGGTGATTCTTTCGTGAAGAAATGCTTGGCAGATAGTATATTTACACAAGTATCAAAACATATGTATATATTCCTTCTGCTATTAGTAGCACTTCTGAATTTCTTTTCTTTTTCCTCTACTTGTTGTTTCAGGAAGATAGTGCTCTATCCCAAGGGAAAAGGTCGTGGAATGGGCACCCATCTTTCTCTGTACTTGGCTTTGGATTTGGCAACCCTCCCTACTGGTTACAGACTATATACGGAGTACACCTTGCGCATTCTGAATCAATTCTGGGGGAGGGAGTCAGATCGTTATGTTAAAGGTAAAAACACAAACGAGCTCTTTGCCTGGAAGATTATACAGCAGAGGAGATTCTTGGATTTTATATTTTTTTCTTTTCTGTCGATGAAAAAAGAGTTCAGATTGTTTCTTCGACTTGCAGCTAAACACTGGTTTGATGCCTCAAGCTCAGAAAGAGGATGGGCAAGATTTATTTCACAGGATATTATTTATCAGCCAAACGGATCCTATGTTGTGAAGGACACTTGCATAGTAGAAGCAGAGGTCACTGTCCTGGGAATTGTTTCTGCCTTTTAGTTATGATTATTATTTTAAGATGAATGTCATGTAAATAATTTCGGTTGACTTTATTAATGGCAAGGATGAATTTAAAACACTCGTGTACCATGTGTCATTTGCTCGGAGAGGCTGTACAACATCTAATTTGGGGAATCATTTATGAGAAATTATATGCAACATTAGAGGGGAGTTTGAAAATTTTAAAACTCTCGGAGGCCAAAGCCACTCATAACTCCCTTAGGTTCCGTTCTGTTGGTGTGTATTGTCAATCTTCTTGTCATTTGTTCAGTAAAAATTTTATAATACATAAAAAAATAATTAGTAATATGTATAATTGTTATTTAATAAATTTATTTTGAAGAAAAAGATAGACACATAAAAAAAATAAGAGAGAAAATTTTAAAAAATTATATCAACGGTGAAAATATTTTCATCATTTTTTATGAATTCGAATATAATAATAATTATTTTTTATATATATCTATCTTTTTTCATAAAATAATTATTATACAAATCATTATTTACTTATTGTGTATTATAAAATTTCTTTTTGTCCAACCTTGCAACTCTCAACATTTTTTTGCAAGCCATTCATTCACGTTGTCAAACATTATGTTGTTGTGCCTCATCAAAACAAATTTTATTGATCTCTGTATTGTGTTTCCTTGACCATCATTCAAACCAACGGCCAAACTCATTTTTTTATTTTGAGTTCTTAAACCAATTTTATGGTATTTTACGATTTCATCCATATCTTCTCTTTAGAGATGTTAAGTAGTCCAAATCATTTTTAAATTTTAATTTGAAAATCAATCATTTAACTTCTAAATCTAATTTTAGATTGAATATTTTTTTTAATTATTTTTATTTTAAATTGATCATCAATATGAATGACCAAAGTACATATAACTTGTATTTTATTGACTTTTTAACTTTCACAATATTAAAAACTGTATTAAAACTTATGAATGCTATACTATATATATATATATTTTCCAAAACTTGTTTATTTTCTTCTAAAATATTTTATAATAGCTTATTTCTTGACAATTAAAAGATAGAAACTAGATTTGGAAGAAAAAATAAGTTTTGATATATTTTTAGTTGTTGAGTAATTGCAAAAATCTAACTGAAGGATTCAATTTTAATTTTTAAAAAGATGTAATTTGAAATTAAAAAATTAATTTTTAAATGATTTAAAATTCAGAAAGCCTTTTTCATTCGTTTAAAAATCTAAAATCCGAACCTTTTTTAACAAAGTTTTCCTTGTTTTTATTTTTTCCTTTTTCACGAATGACAAAAATCCAACCGCCGTCCATGAGGACCAGGACTCTTTTTTTAGCGGATCTTGCTTTCAAGCCTCTGTCGTAACCCAAAAAACTGAAAAAGAGCCCGCAAGGTCAAAAGTTCCCAGACCGTAGTCCCGTCCGGGGAAAAATATAAAAACAATTTGTACGTAATGTTCTTAAGTCTCTGATAAACCCTCTTCAGAAGCGCCTTTCCAGATTCTGTCCTTTTATATGTAATGAACGCGTTGCCTTAATCCTACAAAAAAAAAAAAAAAAAAACAAAGGGAGAAACACAGAAGAAAAAACAAAGAGAGAGGAAGGACGACACGTGTGCAACACTAGCGGAGCCATTTGAGTGGGTGGGCTATGGAGCTCGCCGTCACCAAGAAGTTTGCTCCAGCTCCGTTTGCTCGCCTTTGCTTTGTACGCAATGATCATCGTTGCTTCACTTTCAAGATTGATTACCATCTTGTCTTTTATCACCAGAGCACACACGCGCACACATATATTCTGCGCAATCCTACTTCGAATTTCTTTGATTTGATTAACTTTATCTTTTACTTTTTAAAGTATGCAAGCATTATTGTTTCTAATATACATGTAAAATGATGATATAGGTGTTTGTGGGTGAGCAAAGCTACACACAAGAACACAATTTAATCGGCATATGAACAGAGGGGATTCAGAAGTTGATGGTGATGAGATTGATAGAGGAAGTTTTCTTGGGCACCCAATTTGTGATTTATGTGGAGAGCAAGTCTATGGGAATTGTGAACTCTATTCACATTTGTCAGTTGAACATTATACCTGTCGTTTTTGCGTTAGGTAGACCTTTTTTTCCTTTTTGATTGTAAATTTGTAATTTGACTATTTGTTTTTCAATTTAGAACCATTTACATCTAATTTTCATAACAGGCAGGAAGGACCCGGGGATATCTGAGTGCCACAAGAATATGAAGATCTGGGAGGCAACTATTTCCCCCTTGCCCTTTGTTTTCCCTATTATATCTGATATGATATTTATTTAACATTATTTACTTGTCTTACAGAGGCATTTCCGCACATATCATTTCCTATGTGAGGAAGAAGCTTGCCTTGCCGACGAGTTTGTTGTGTTTATATCTGAGATTGATTTTATGGTAGGCAAACAAAACAAAACACATGGAGCCTCCAAAAAAAAAAAAGCCTCCTTGAAAATCCCCATTATGGACTGCCTTTTCTGATGTCAGTCAGCCTGGTGCAGTGCCAGTTGGGCTGCATCCATTATATCACTAGGTTGGATGTGAACTTCTAAATTGTAGTTACTTTAAATTCTCAAGTTTCATCCTTACTTTTCCAAGTTATTGATGTATATGTCTCAAGCAAGTAAGAATATGCCTATTTTAAATGACAAAGAAGGAAGAGTGATTTTACGGGCATGCAAAGCATATTTTAACCGAATGCCTTGGGTTTCCGTTAGAGGTTTTCCTGTAGCTAAGAAGCATCACTCTCCCCCAAAGCTACTTGCATAATAAGCATGTTGTTGTGTTCAAGTCGAGTAAGATTCCAGTTTGCAAGGAAACAATACATGGTATATTTTACAGACGTGTTTTGCATCTGCAAGCAGAGAATCGATCCTGTTTCCTGTTTCAAAAGTAATCTTTATTCTGGCAAAGGGTAATATATCTTCAAAACAACTTCTAAAAGTTTCAAGCAAAGGGTAATATATCCTCAAACGACTCGTAAAAGTTTCAAACAACTACTTTCTCTTTTTTCTTACAAATAGGGGAACAGCTTTTTGGCTTTCACCCCTGTATCCTGCACATTTTTAGTGGAATTTGTTGCCAAGAAAGATATTGTCGCCATCATGCCAGATGATGTCAGCAATATCACTCCTCCTCCTGGTATTTACCCCTTTCCTCCACTCTTTTTTCTCATGGACTAACATCATGTTCTATGACCTAACTTTTTCGCTGCTAATTACTGCCGAGATTATTGTCTGTGACCTTACCCTCTCTTCTATACAATGTTCTCCCTCAAACACTATGCCTTTTCGTCCAGTGAGCCAATTTTCTCTAATAACCAAACCAAAGAGTGATCAAACTTGTTGCAAGTGCTGATATCAATTTTTTTTTCCAGGTGCTTTAGCATCCATATCCGATGCATCACCCGTCCATTACATAGTTAAAATGGAGTCATTTTCGTTAGTAACGAAAAATGCAGTGGAGAAACATGAATCGGGGGTTTTTGAAGCTGGAGGCTACAAATGGTACTTTTTCTTGCTAGTTAAATATTTATCTTTTTTGTCTTCTCATCCCCATCTGCAGTCATGTTTTGTTGGGAGATGCCCTTCGCGGTATTCTTTTTTATGTTTATTCTGTCCTATGTTTTCGTTGAAAGGAAATTGGTTCTTTATCCAAATGGAAACAAGAGCAAGAACGTAAAAGAGTACATCTCTCTCTATGTAGCAATGGTTGACACAAGCTCTCTTCCACTTGGTTGGGAGGTCCATGTGATTTTCCGGTTTTTTTGCTTGACCAGAACAAGGACAACTACTTGGTAGTTCAAGGCATGTTTTCTAAATCATTACTTTGCAATAGATCCTCAAGCTGTAGTCATTAATTTATTTTTATTTTTTTTTAGTGTCACCAATTAAAGTTATGCATCGTTATCTTTGTAAATTGGGTGACAAGCAAGATTTTCTTGCAATGGTTTTCTTCAATCACTCGAGTAATTTAGTCTGATTCAAGAGAAAATGATGCCGCTCTCTAATGTTTTGGCCTTGTTGCCGAGGTTAGATGCAGCAGGAAAGGAAACACGTTTCCATGGATTGAAGTTTTCGTGGGGTTTTGATCAGTTCGTTAAGCTTTCAACATTTAATGATGCTCGTCATGGGTTCCTTCTGGACGACAGTTGTGTGTTTGGAGCAGAAGTATTTGTCCGCAAAGAAAGAAGCAGAGGCACAGGAGAGCTTTTATCAATGATAAAGCAACCCGATACTTTCAAGTACACTTGGAAGATCAAAAACTTTTCCAAGTTGGATGAAAAACGTCAAGAATCAGAAATATTCAGCATGGCAGATCAAAAATGGTATCTTTGTTATTATTTTTTTAATCTTTGATCTTAATTGAAAAAATCTTCGGAATGTGCTTTAGGAGGCCAATGTTTCTCTTCCATTACATTATAGTACTCCACATGCTTGGCCAAACAATAGCTTAGTGTTTAGAACGAAATTTACCATTGTATAAGCCAACTCTTGGTGATTCTTTCGTGAAGAAATGCTTGGCAGATAGTATATTTACACAAGTATCAAAACCTATGTATATATTCCTTCTGCTATTAGTAGCACTTCTGAATTTCTTTTCTTTTTCCTCTACTTGTTGTTTCAGGAAGATAGTGCTCTATCCCAAGGGAAAAGGTCGTGGAATGGGCACCCATCTTTCTCTGTACTTGGCTTTGGATTTGGCAACCCTCCCTACTGGTTACAGACTATATACGGAGTACACCTTGCGCATTCTGAATCAATTCTGGGGGAGGGAGTCAGATCGTTATGTTAAAGGTAAAAACACAAACGAGCTCTTTGCCTGGAAGATTATACAGCAGAGGAGATTCTTGGATTTTATATTTTTTTCTTTTCTGTCGATGAAAAAAAGTTCAGATTGTTTCTTCGTCTTGCAGCTAAACACTGGTTTGATGCCGCAAGCTCAGAAACAGGAGGGCCAAGATTTATTTCACAGGATATTATTTATCAGCCAAACGGATCCTATGTTGTTAAGGACACTTGCATAGTAGAAGCAGAGGTCACTGTCCTGGGAATTGTTTCTGCCTTTTAGTTATGATTATTATTTTAAGATGAATGTCATGTAAATAATTTCGGTTGACTTTATTAATGGCAAGGATGAATTTAAAACACTCGTGTACCATGTGTCATTTGCTCGGAGAGGTTGTACAACATCTAATTTGGGGAATCATTTCTGAGAAATTATATGCAACATTAGAGGGGATTTTGAAAATTTTAAAACTCTTGGAGGCCAAAGCGACTCATAGCTCCCTTAGGTTCTGTTCTGTTGGTGTGTATTGTCAATCTTCTTGTCATTTGTCCTACCTTGCAACTCTCAACATTTTTTTGTAAGCCATTCGGTAACGTTGCCAAGCGTTTTTATGGGCTTCGTTTTTTCGCATAAAACAATTTCTAATAGAAAAATCAATAAGGAAGCTAATTTTAGGAAAGTTATTTTTCAAAAAACTATTTTCTGATATTTTGTAATTACATAAAAACGGTTAGAAAATATATTTCAGAGTTTGTTTGATACGGAAAACTAAAATACAAAAGAGGTTGTGATTGTTACATCAACGGTTTTTAAGAAAACTTCAACAAGGGGTATTCATAATTTCACAGTGTAAGATGCATTTAAAAAAATTTAATAAATTTTCATAAATAGTAACTCTAAGATTTAAATTCAAAAAATCAAAAAATAAAATGTATATTTTTAACCATCAAACCAATTCATCAAAACTACTTGGAACAAAATCAAATCAATATTAATATTTAGTAAAAGAAATTTCTAAGTAATGCTAGTATTGTTATTTTGGTAACTCAATTAAGAATTTTTTTTTCTAATTGAATTGATAATTTAGTCTAAAAAAGTTTTACAAATTATTAGTTATGATTTATAGATAATTATTTATTTGGTTCCAAAAGATTAATGTTGAAATAATTTATAACTAATAATTGACTATAATTACGAACAAAATTTTACAACTGATTAAAATTAGTCACAAATTATTGAATTAGTTGCAAATGAATAATATTGAAAAAATAATGTATTTATTAATGAATTAATTAGTTTCAAATTTTTCATACATGATTACAATCTTGTAATAATCATTTTCAATTATTTAAATATAATTTAGGTGGTGTTTGTGTTAATGGTAAAAAAATAGAGATAAATTATTGAAATATTTATTATAAAAATAATTTTAAGGTGTAAAAATAATTTTTAAGAATGTTTAATGTATTTATAAATCAAAAAATCAAATGTTAGTAGAAATAGAGAAAATAATTAAATAATTAATAATAATTGATAAGAAATAATTAAAAATTAATTTGATATATTTTAAATAAAAAGGAGATAGAGAAAAAAATCTTTAAAATATATCGAGAGAGAGAGGTAAATAACACGAGAGTAAGATAGCTTATGAGAGAGAAGAAAAATGTTTTCCTCTTTTTTGACTAGAAAAACACTTTTTCAAAAATACTCTATCACTTTCTATTGATTGAAAATCATTTTTAGTCGATTTTTTTTCTAAACGCGAAACAAATAGCGAGAAAATAAGAAAAATAAGTTTTAAGAACTTGTTTTCCTCCAAACAAACATAGCCTTGTTGTGTCTCCTAAAAAAAAAATTTACCGATCTCTATACTCGTGTTTCCCCAACCATCATTCAAACCGACAGACCAAATTCATTCTTCTATTTTGAGTTCCTAAACCAATTTTATGGTCTCTACTTTTTTATCCATGTCTTCTCTTTAGATATGTTAAGTAGTCCAAATCATTTTTGAATTTTTAACTTCTAATTTTAGATTAAATATTTTTTTTAACTATTTTTCATTTGAAATTAATCATCAATACTAACGATGAAAGTATATATAACTTTTATTTTATTGACTTTTAACTTTCACAATATTAAAAAAATATATCAAAACTTATAAATACTATACTTTTTTTTCTCCAAAACTTGTTTATTTTCTTCTAAAATATTTTGTAATAGCTTATTTCTTGACAATTAAGAGATAAAAACTAGATTTAAAAGGAAAAATAAAGCATTTATAAGTTTTGATATATGTTTAGTTGTTGAATAATTGTAAAAATCTAACTGAATAGCTCAATTTTTTATAAAGTGTACTTTGAAATTAGAAAATTAATTTTTAAATAATTTAAAATTCAGAAAGACTTTTTCATTCGTTTAAAAATCTAAAATACGAACCTTTTTCAACGGAGTTTTCCTTGTTTTTATTTTTTTCTTTTTCACGAATGACAAAAATCACAGAAATCCAACCGTCGTCCATGAGGACCAAGACTTTTCTTTCAACGGATCTCGCTTTCAAGCCTCTGTCGTAACCCCAGAAACGAGCCCGCAAGGTCAAAAGTTCCCAGACCGTAGTCCCGTCCGGGGAAAAAATAAAAATACAGTAACTGTAAATCATCTTAAGTCTCTGACAAACCCTCTTCGGAACCGCTTTTCCAGATTCTTTCCTTTTATATGTAATGATCGCGTTGCCTTAATCCTACAAAAAAACAAAGGGAGAAACGTGTGCAACACGAGCGGAGCCATTTGAGTGGGTGGGCTATGGAGCTTGCCGTCACCAAGAAGTTTGCTCCACCTCCGTTTGATCGCCTTCGCTTTGTACGCAATGATCACCGTTGCTTCACTTTCAAGATCGATTGCCCTCTTGTCTTTTATCACCACAGTACACGGGTGCGCGCGCACACACACACATAGATTCTGCGCAATCCTACTTCGAATTTCTTTGATTTGATTAACTTTATCTTTTACTTTTTAAAGCATGCAAGCATTATTTTTTCTAATATTCATGTGAAATCTTTTGCTTACTTATCGAATGATACTTAGTTTATACATGTAAAATCGTGATATAGGTGTTTGTGGGTGAGCAAAAGCTACACACAAGAGCACAATTTAATCGGATGAACAGAGGGGATTCAGAAGTTGATGGTGATGAGATTGATAGAGGAAGTTTTCTGGGGCGCCCAATTTGTGATTTATGTGGAGAGCAAGTCTATGGGAATTGTGAACTCTATTCACATTTGTCAGTTGAACATTATACCTGTCGTTTTTGCGTTAGCTAGACCTTTTTTTCCTTTTTGTTTATGATTGTAAATTTGTAATTTGACTATTTATTTTTCAATTTAAAATGATTTACATCCAATTTTCATAACAGGCAGGAAGGACCCCGGGATATCTGAGTACTACAAGAATATGAAGATCTGGAGGCAACTATTTCTCCCTTGCCCTTTGTTTTCCCTATTATATCTGATATGATATATATTTAACATTATTTACTTGTCTTACAGAGGCATTTTCGCACATATCATTTCCTATGCGAGGAAGAAGCTTGCCTTGGCGACGAGTTTGTTGTGTTTATGTCTGAAATTGATTTTATGGTAGGCAAACAACACAAAACACATGGAGCCTCAAAAAAAAAAAAAAAAAAGCCTCCTTGAAAATCCCCGTTGTTAATTTAATATTTTTGCTTTCTGTGTTTTATAGTTCAGTTTTTTACCGTTACCTATTCGTGCTTTCCGCTTGAATCTAGAAACATATGACAAAAGATGAAAGGAGTGCATTTGAGTCAGAGAATGAAACCTCTCGTGAGGTACGGATTCTAATTGTGATTCCCATATGATAAAATTTAGATCTTATTACCTTCTTTTCACCGGCAATCAATCGTTGCTGGTTTACGTTGCTAATGTGGTTTGCTAAGCTAGAGTAGAGGTGAAACTGTTGAATCATAATCAAACTTGTTCAGGTCAAATTGAAGAGGAGGCCAGAGCTTATTGCCGATGTCCCAGTGCTAAGGAAACAGTATTGTTTGCAGCCAGCAGATGTTCAATTTTTCCTAGTTTAAAACCGTGATTTCATTACCAGACCATTTTTGCCAATTTTGCATGGAATGTTATTTATCGTGTTATCCTATACTTTTAATGTTGTAAATTGCAAGGGGTTTTAAATTTTAATGACACAATTCCTCCGTTTCTTCTTTGGTGATATCAGCATGCATTAAGTGCAGTTCTCTTGTTTGCCAAAACATGTTTGGAATAAAGAGAAAAAAAACATTATCCATCATTCTTTCCACAAGCAGAAACCGAGAGGGCATGTGATGTTTATGTTTATGCAGTTGCCAGATAAATCGTCAATTAGGAGGTTACATTGGCCACAGGAATGGCCAGAGTCAATCCATTCGGGCACAGAAGTTCAAAATAAGGTTTAATGTACTTTACAGAATGTCATATAATTTACAGGAGGAATCATATGGACAGTTATTTACATGAGTTCGGCGTTAAGCCATACAGGTATGTCCACAAAGAATTATTTGATACTTACAAATACAGAAATCAAATATTCGGGGGGAAGGATGGTACAACTTAGCCAAAGGTTTTCTCGCTGCTGTAGCACATATACAGAAATCCATCATCATCCTTATAAGATTCATAAATTGAATCCATCTGACTTGCTGTAAATAAATTGCACGGGTTAGCAGGTTGCTATGAGCAAGCTGTGTATAAGTTACAATGTTGAGATAAATCAAATGACGAATTTTACCTGTTTGAGGCAATGTGTTCTTCACAAACACGAACAGAGCCTTTCCAGGTGTCAACTCTAGCCTACTACTTAAAATGTGGATGAATTGGCCGATAGTCATGTCTCGGGGAACCAAGAATCTGGAAAAAACGAGAAGAATAAAGGTTGGAATCTTATAACAATATGCTGTCTAGGAATTTGGTTACGAACTTGACAAATCTATAGCTCAAAATGTGCCATTCGGACTGGAAATCAGAACCAGATATACTAACGTTAGATTAACATGGCAGGTTAAATGGTAACAACTGAAATTTTGCCACTGTATAATGCAAAGAGAATTAGAGAGCTAGACATACTTTCTCTTTTCCATTTCTGGCAGGTCCGTCCTTGAATACCTATCAATAATCACCTTAAAAAAAAAAAAAAAAAAAATCAAAGAAAGTACTGATGACCTGGAATGGGTCAAAAAAAAAAAAAAAAAAACTCTTTAAGCTTGATATTGCTATTTAAATTACATTGTCGAAGTCAAATTTTGCCTTGCTTTCTCAGCAGTCAAGCTTTGGCTTAGTTTGCAAGGGTAGGTAACTTACAAAAGGCACATCATTCTAACTAGAATTTCAAAATTAATTCTTTAACAATATTCAATAACAATGACTACGTTCCTTTAACAGATGCCCTGCACCAACTAGTAAACATGTTCTCCAAGAAAACATATAGGATGGTTTTGATTACCATAAGACATCAACCAGCTTAGCTATTAAACGTTCATCATTATAAAAGTTTAACACGTGAAAAATCACAATCAAGAAAACATCATTTTTCGACAGGAAACATCTATATATGCAGAAAAAATTGCACATCCAAATCGCAATGAGGAATTTCCACCCATTTTGGAATTTTCAGATTTGTTTCCAAATTCCAATTGTATAATCTTTTCTTTCTTTGGTGAGGGCTAGCTTTCATTCACCGAGACTTAACCCGCCCCGCCTAGATCAGGTCTTGGGCTACACATTCTATTTGTCAAATCAGACAAGACCCCAGAAAGCACCGAGATAAAAGAAACAGAGCAGGTACACCGAAAAATTCTCAAAAATAAAAAATTGTGCTTCCAGCAAGAAAAGTAAAGAAACAATCACAATTCAATCATGACAGCTCAAAATCAAAGAAATACAATACAATACCATATAAAAAGAGAAAGAACTTACAGGAACTCGATCTGGATATTTGACAATGATATTCTTTGATTCTCCAAGTCTCTCGTCTACGAATCATATGCAAACCATAATTCAAATATCAACCAATAAGAAACCAACAACAATATATATGAACTTTGCGAGACAAAAAAGAATAATAATAAAAAGTAAAAAAAACTAACCAAATGTGAATTCGTGCTTGAAAGACTGGACCTTTCCCATGGATTTGATGCAAACAATGTTGTTCTTGTAATTTTTTTGTGTCGGTGATAGGAAAACTTGGAGGAGTTGAAAGATAATGATGGTCTACGGAAGAAAGAGAAGGTGGTGTTGGAATTGGAAAAAGAGTTAAAAGACAGCTAGAAATAGAATAGACAGTCGTGTAAGTTAGTTGCTGTTATTTGCGAAAAGACACGTAGGATGCCGGTTTCAATTAACAAAGGGCACGGCAAGGCAACTACTTGTTGTGTTGTCGTTTCTGGAACTGCGGGAATGGATAGGCCTTCATAACTTGGGTTTACTCTTGCTCAACCAAGCCCAGACAATAATATCTGGATAGGCCCGCGTGCCTACAATTTCTCATGGGCTGAAAAAAGTCTAACCATTCCTGAACTTTAAGTTAATTCTAATTTTTTTTATTAATTTAAAAGATTTTTTAACTTTTTTTTTCAGATTTAGTTTATTTAATAATTTTTAGCTATCATTTTTTTCTTTATAAAATTTAATTTTTAGTATTTTGAACTGAAATTTTGCACACACATTAGAAAAAATTTAATCTATTTTATAGAAAAATTCCAAAATTTTTTAAAATAAAAAACTATATTTTTTATTTAAACAAAATTAAAAATATAGAAGATAACTCTAAAATAATTTCAATTTTTTATGAGCCCCACTTAAATTTCAATAATTTCCATACTAAAACTATATGATTGCTATTTTTTGAGATAAATGCCAAAAAATTGAAGAATAAGCTAAATTTGAAAACATTAAAAATTGAAAGATCTCTAAAACCAATTTAAAAAAAAAACATCCAGGAATCCAATTTCAAATTAAATGACTTAAGGTTTAGGATGGTTAAACTCTTTAAGCCTTTTGTTGTTATTTCTGTCTTTTTACGTGGGTAAAACTTTTTTCTAACATTGATTTGTTGTCACATTTCAGGTATTGATTTAGTCATGTGGCAAATGAACTTGTTTCTTTTGTTATTATTTAGGATTAGATTTCAAAAGATATGTCTTCTTTAGTTCTCTGGATTATCTTTAGGGTTTCGTTATTCTACTTTGAAGAGATTTTTATCCTTAATTTTTTATAGGTTATTCGTGTCTCGTATTGATTCAAGTTTTGTCTTGTTTTTACAAGTGTTTATATTTTCGTTTATTAGGTACATGTTAGAGGTTCAATCTATAAGTGGCCTTAGTATAACCTATTAAGATATTAATTAAGAAAGGGATTAATCAAGAAAAAAGATTGAAGTTAAATAGGAAGAGGACTATTGTGAAACTAAAAGGACAATTTTTCTGTTTTTGTTTTTTTTTCCCCTATTTAGTTGACACATGTGTATCTATATACAAAAAAATTGTCTTTTCTTTTGTACAATTTCCAAAGAGAGCAATTCGAGAGAAAAAAAAAGGAAGGTTTTTTCTTATTCTTTTGAAGAATTCTATAGTAAGAAAGTAAGGATTTTTAGTGTACTAAATATGAGAGTTTTCTCGAACATTAATTTTTTTTTATTACTGCAATCATAATGAATTATAATGTTCAAGGTGATAATCTTACGCACTATGTTTGTAAAAACATAAAGATTTTTCAGATTTTAAAAAGTGACAATCTTATATAGTATTGGGTTTTACGAAATACTGAGATTTTATAGATTTTAAACTTTCATAATAAGATGAATTTATCAAAATGCTTATACTTCAATGATAATAGTTTCTTACAATAGAAGATCACAGGTTTAAATTTTAACGGACTAGAAGTCTTGAGTGTATAAGTTTAAAAATATAAATAAATAAATAATCAAAGAACTTTGGGTGTATAAGCTAAAAAAAATCTATACTTTTCGAATTCACGAGTTAAAATCCTAATAGAAAATTCTAACATATTACTTATGTAAGATGTCTTAGTTCTGCAAGTTAAAAAGACAAAATAAAAAAAGGGACGACCTCAATAGAGAATGCAACTTTAAAAAAACTGCAATTAATTCTCAATCCCACAGTGTCAGCATGACTGAAAATGAAGGTGGGTTGGTGAATTAATTCTAGGTTCCGTTTCTACTGTATTGACTAAAGACTTTTCTCCTATACAACCCACAAACAAGCCCAACAATTTTAACCCTAACCAAATCGACATACAAACTACTAAATTCATCCATACATCTGATCCAACTAATCTAGAATCTCTTAACACCCAGCCCAACATGAACCCACTTCCAACACAACAACGCACTCCTAATCCAACTCCTCGTTATGTTTCCGTATCATTCTTACATACAGATATACCGAAACCTAAAAACCATGCCCTATCTTTATATATGTCATTCGTATTGGCACGTGAAAAAATTTAGCTAGAGAAGTTCACAACTCGCTCTCTGAGACCTTGTTACATTCTTCTCTAGAAAATGCAAGATTTCTCAGACATTTTTAGCAGTGAAGGATTACGCTCCTGACTCTGCTGTCAAGAGGAGTAGAGAGTTTACTCCGATAGAAAAGGCAGATGCTAGTTGACAGCCCTGCCGGCAGTCATGATGATTTTATTTTAGAATTGTTATGATCTAGGAAATGACCCAAAGATTTATATTTTGCACAATCTTGAGCGTTCAGACGTTTCCAATAGACTTTTGTTTTTAAAGACTCGGTTAAAAAGTTTCGAAGTTGAAAAAATAAGATGTTAAATAGCTTCTTCTAATGGCCTTGTTGTTGATTGTATGGAAAATGGTCGTAATAGAAGTGAAGGGTTAGCTATGTGGTGGAATGACAGTTGTTGCCTCAATTTGTTGTCCTTCTCCATTCATTATATGGACTTGAAGCTCGACATATATCAGAATGATTAGTTTGGCGCCTCAACTATGTTACTAATAAAGGTTCTTCTAACTACTCTTAGCAAAGTATTTTAAGTGAAATAACCATTTTAACTACAAATGCAATATGGAAGGTTAGGAATGATTGTAAAATCCATATAAGGAATATGATAATTGGCTTTCGCTGCAAGCTGGTAATAAATCATGGTTGCACTTGTTATATGAAGACGTAACTATTAACATGCTCATTAACAAGGAGATCTGTTCATGGAAAACTGATCTTATTCGTCAAATATTCATATCTCATGATATAATTGTTTGGCATCATACAAAAAATGGTGAATTCTCTGTACGGAGTGCTTATTATGGCCTTAGATTTAATCGGAAATAATAAGGATTCTTCTAGTGGGCAATATAAGATTGAAAAAAAAAAAAAGTACGAAAGAAATTATGGCATCTGAAATGTCCCTCATAAAGTCAAGACATTTTTGTTTGGAGAGTTCTCAAGGACATCCTCCCCTTCTATATGTTCAAATCTGGTAAGGCATAGGAATTTCATTGATCAAACTTGTGGCAGATGTGGCTACCATTTTGAGCATATTAATCATATTTTATGTAGTTGCCCTTTTGCAAAGAGTATATGAGATTCTAAGACTAATATAGAATCTGATCTTGTCTTTCTGTCGAATTCTTTCTGAGAATGGTCATGAAACTCTTTACTGTCTCTTTGTGATTATGCCATTGAATCTTCTATTGCGCTAGCTTGGAATATCTATTATGCATAGAAATTGCTTTTGCTTTCAGCAAAAGGAGATTGATATAACAAGTGTTTTACAATTTTCTTGTTCCATTCTTTTTCACTATCATGCTGATAATCAATTGGATGTTAGCTCAACTTCATGGTCTCGCAATCAAGAGACAACTGTTGGGTTTCTCCAATTGGTGATGTGATCAAAATCAATATTGATGCTTCTCTTAGTAATAATATCAGTGGACCTAGTGTTATTGCCGAAAATTCTCTTAGCCAAAGTTGTGTTTTCTGCTTACAAAAGTGTAGAGGTGCAGTTTTCTATTGATAGAGGCGAAGCTCTCGATGTGATTTATGGTCTTCAACTTGCTATTGATATGAGACTTTCAAAAGTTTGTTTGGAACCGGACCGTGCTAGTTTCATTCATCAAATATGTTCAGATGTAGTGGATGACTTTTACTTTTCTTCTATCGCTCTTGATATCAAAGCTCTAACTAGTCTTTTTCTTATTCTTCTACTTTTATTCATGTTAAACATGAAAACAATGAGACTGCTCGTAAACTAGTTAATTAAATTAGGTTTAACTGTATCGAATAAGTCTTTGTCGAAGATTTTCATCATTCTTAATGGAAGGTTGTCCAAACTGACGTTCCTTCTTGATTTCTTAATGAAGTTGAAATAATAATAATAATAAAAAAGATTAAATTTCAAAAGAAAAATCATCTTTTATGATTTTATTTAAAAATAAATCGTGAATAAAAACATTTTGATAAATATATTAGGTTGAATGTGGATCGATCACTTGTTTAAAACTTAAATAAATAATAATGAAAAAAAACTAGCTCTGAGATATAAAAACTAAGTTCACAATACTTTCACTTTCATTCTCTGAAAATGAGAAGAAAGATGTAATAGTGGATGACAAAAATTCGAATATTGTTGCATTTCACAAAGAAAGCATAAAAGAAAAGAAAAGAAGGGAAACGAACGTGGATGATTCAAAGATCACTTATAAGTAGATTGGATCTTCATTGTTTGCTGTCCGGTCAAGATCAATATCAAACATAGCACGTAATTGTTAAGTTCAATCTATCAACGATAACAATGCTTCTCTGTATAGTGATATATATATATATATATATATATATATATTTTTTTTGGAGAAAATTGAAATAGCAATAAACACCGGATGTGCATGGTAATTTAATATATTATTTTATATTCCCTGAATTGGATGTCCATATGTAGTTGAATATATGTGGATTTTTTTTTTGTTTCCTGAGGTTGGTAGATTGGTGGTTTGGTGAGTGATTGGACGTCGCATCCAAATCCAATTTGAATCTCACCAACCCACCAAAGAAAAACTAGTGTCCAACTCAAACTCCAGAAAGACTAAACAAAATTAGAAAAAGCATAGTGTCTTTGTTCTTTTTCAATTAGGTTTATACTACATGCATGTTTGACGCTGAACCTTTGATTCTTATTGACAATTGGCCTTATCACACATATACTATTTTGAAAACTAGTACTGCTATCTTTTTAATCATTCTTTGGTCCTATTAATTACCACAATATGTTTAATTTTTAGGGTGATGGATCCACCCCAAGTGCTGACCCTTGATCTGTTTTATTGCCAGTTTCAAGAAGCTGAAGTCCCTTCATGGAGCAGCATCACCATTCAACAAATATTGAAAAATAACAATATTCCCTTTAAATTTTTTTACCCAATCTAGATTAATTGCTTTGATGTGATAGTTCAAGGTACCGGAATAATAAAAACGAAAAATTATGAGTTAAATTGGTTTTTATCAAAAATTTAGAAAATTATTTTAGCGACTAGCCTTTTATGAAAATACTCTGAATTGAACTATGCATCAATGGTAGTAGATTAGATTACACATTTGGATCAATGAGAACGCATAATTCAATAAGTCATATTCTATTAGACAAATAATCAAACCAACATTAATCAGCATGCTTCATTTTGCAAGAATTTGAATCCTTAACTTTAATTTTGGAATAGAAAACTTAAATCATTACAACCGCCAAGAAAATTAAGCACTAATTAATAAACACAAAACTATAACTTATTAGTATATTATCAGTGTTTTTATGATAAAATGCTGACCCAATTTAATGACTCAGCCCCCATCCAAGCAATCATTCTTAAAATATAAGATCGAATTAATGAAATAATACTATTTATTTCAACAATCCTTTACTTCACTTAAAAAAAAAAAATGAAAAGGAAAACACAAATAAATTATAAATTAGTCCATCTAGTTTGGAAAATGAATTAATTCATCTTTTTTTCAAAAAATAATTATTTAGTTCTTTTTAACTTAATCTTTATTTTTATTTTTATTGAAAAAAAGTAAAAATATGGAAAGATCGACGAAAAAAATTATATTTTTAAAAATAATATAATATTAAATTAAAAATGATCAATACTGGCTAAGAGATTAAATGATTAGTTTTTTTTATTAAAAAAATTATTTATTTTTAAAAAATAGAGGGACTTATTTATAATTTACTCAAAAAAAAACATTGTAATTCATCTTTTTTTTAAAAAATAATTATTTAGTTCTTATATTTTTATTATTTATTTATTTTTATTGAAAAAAAGTAAAAATATGAAAAGATTGATGAAAACAATTATATTTTTTAAAATAAAATAATATTAAATTAAAAATGATCAATACTAACTAAGAGATTAAATGATTAGTTTTTTTTAGAAAAAAAATTATTTATTTTTTTAAAATAGAGGGACTTATTTATGATTTACTTAAAAAAATACTGTATTATTGGTCACCATTTTTAATTAGAAAATAAAGAAGTCTGAAAATTCAACTTCACCAACTCCCCAACCACAACAGAAGTAGAAGTAGGGGTGACTCGGATACGGTGGCTACGAAGTGGGCTTAAGAGTCAAATAGAAGAGCCCAAGTCATGGGTTTTTATAATAATAGAAGTCCAAGTGGTGGTCCACCTTTACGACAGCCTGGGGTTGGTGTATCATACGTGTAAATTTCTTCTACTACGCGTCCTGTTTTTAGCTCTCTACAGTCATACTGCTTATCACATGCGTCAAAAACATATTTTCTGTCTTACTATAAATATTTAGTCAAACGAGTCCTTATTGTTTCTTTTCAGACAATTTAAATCTTTTATTTTTAGTTTACCAATAATCAAATCCATTTTTATACTTATATGTTTGCATAATTGCATATAGAATCACACCAGATATGGAAAACCATCTGATGGACACGATTCGGATGGACAAACTCTATCGATCTAAGAAATTAATAGAAACTATGATCATAATTACGAAATTTTTGGATCTTTTTTCATGACCAACATTCACTTTATATTCATCATGTATATATCAAAAAGAAAAAAGAAAAAAAAGATAAGCTTATAAAATCAATAGTTGATAAAAAATACTTTATTTTACTTGAAAGAAGATAAAAGTTCAAAATTACGGAAAAGAAATTTTTTTTAATTAATTAAGCTATCCCATATAAAAGAAAGGATATTTATGTTTTACACTTGCTTTTTATCTCTCATAATAAATATAAAATTTCTGTTGCTTTTCTTATTTTATGATGTAATTCTTCATGAATATAATTGTTATGGATTTTAGTGCATATATATATAGTGTATTTAGATATTTATTGTGTAAAGCTCCATCAATATGAATTCTTGAAAAATTTCGAAGTCAAAGGTTGAATTAAATAAAAGTAATGTAAAAAACAGTAAATTGACACAAATGTTGACACTGAGGGACTAAGTGATTTATCTCTCTATCCATCACAGTCCCACCGACGATTTCTGCCTATTAAAATTACAAACGCGTAGAGCGTTTTCAGGAAGGGCTAAGATTAAACCCAAAAATGAAAATCAGCCATTGGATCTAACAGCTTAGGTGTGATGACTCGTAAATAACACAAAAAGGAATGAATCTGGTCCAAATTACGCTTTTCGGTTCGAGGGGATACTTGCCTATAAATAACTACCTTTGCCTCTCCTTCGAAACTCGCATAGCTAAGCTTGACAAGTAGAGGAAGTCCCTTTTTCTTTCAAGCAGCAACCCTACTCTACACTTTCTCTCTATCTATTTCTCAAGGTTGGTAGCGTTTGTCTCTATAGTTTCTGTGTCATTGGATTCTTTCATCTTTGTTTCTTTGGTTATTTGTTCTGAACGTGTTTGTCGGTTAATATGTGTTTGATTTGTTGGTTTAAACCTTAGCTTCTGGGAACTTATATGTTGAAAATTGAGTTTCGGTCTCAATTGTCATGTTCTTGCTTATCATTAGTTACTTGCCTAGATCTGTGTTTATTTGTGCGATTCTGTTTTGTTAATGGTGAAATATTATAGATCTAAATATTTAATGTTATGGATGAATGTTCTTTAAAAAAAGGATGAACTCAGGCTTAAGTAATTCATGTTATGTGGTGGGTTTATTTAGTGTAGCTTGTCGGGGTTAAATCCTGTTTATATTGTGGATAAGAGGGATTTTGTGAGGGCTAGTGTATAGTAAGGGCTGATGGGGCTTCAAATGAATTGAAAGAAAGTAATTTGATTTTAGATTTCGTGGTTTTAGTTGTGTTTGAGATTTTTAGTGACGGGATTTTATGTGTGCTTTCTGCAGCTTGAAAGAAATGGCAGAGACTTTCCTATTCACATCTGAATCAGTGAATGAGGGACACCCAGATAAGCTCTGTGACCAGATCTCTGATGCCGTGCTCGATGCTTGCTTGGCCCAAGACCCTGACAGTAAGGTAGCATGCGAGACTTGCACTAAGACCAACATGGTCATGGTTTTTGGTGAGATCACCACCAAGGCTAATGTAGATTATGAGAAGATTGTGCGTGATACCTGCAGAAGCATTGGATTCACTTCTGATGATGTGGGTCTTGATGCTGACAATTGCAAGGTTCTAGTTAACATTGAGCAACAAAGTCCTGATATTGCTCAGGGTGTTCATGGCCATTTTTCCAAGAGACCAGAAGAGATTGGTGCTGGTGATCAAGGGCATATGTTTGGCTATGCCACTGATGAGACCCCTGAATTGATGCCTTTGAGCCACGTTTTGGCTACCAAGCTGGGTGCTCGCCTCACTGAGGTTCGCAAGAATGGAACTTGCGCATGGTTGAGACCTGATGGAAAAACCCAAGTTACAGTTGAGTACTACAATGAAAAAGGGGCCATGGTTCCTGTCCGCGTCCACACGGTTCTCATTTCTACACAACATGACGAGACTGTAACAAATGATGAGATTGCGGCAGATCTCAAGGAGCATGTCATCAAGCCTGTGATCCCTGAAAAGTACTTAGATGAGAAGACTATCTTCCATCTTAACCCCTCTGGTCGTTTTGTCATTGGTGGTCCTCATGGTGATGCTGGTCTTACTGGCCGTAAGATCATTATTGACACTTACGGTGGATGGGGTGCTCATGGTGGTGGTGCTTTCTCCGGAAAGGACCCAACCAAGGTGGATAGGAGTGGAGCTTACATTGTCAGGCAGGCCGCCAAGAGCATTGTTGCCAGTGGGCTTGCTAGGAGGTGCATTGTTCAGGTCTCCTATGCCATTGGTGTTCCTGAGCCTTTGTCAGTATTCGTAGACACATTTGGAACTGGAAAGATTACTGACAAAGAGATCCTTCAGATTGTGAAAGAGAGTTTTGATTTCAGACCTGGTATGATTTCCATCAACCTTGATCTCAAGAGAGGTGGCAATAACAGGTTCTTGAAGACTGCAGCATATGGACACTTTGGCAGAGATGACTCCGACTTCACATGGGAGGTGGTGAAGCCCCTCAAGTGGGACAACAAGGTCCAGGCTTAATTAAGGTCTATACCAGTTTCTGACGGACGAGTATTTTGCTTATTGGCTGCAACTCTCTATTATGGGGAGTTTGCCTATTGGCTTTTAGCACGTCTTATTTTTACTTTTTCTTCATTTGATGTGTTTTGAAAATTGCTTTTAGATTTGTTACCTGAGAGGAGAGCAAATTGAAAAAAAAAAAGTGTTCTGATATGTTTTCTGTTACAGCTGCTTAGATAAAGAGATGATGATGATGTATGTAAGGAACTGGAAACGGCAGCAGAGCTGCAATATATGATATATATATATATATATTATTTTTTGGCATTCAAGATAATGCTTACTTGCTGCTTTTGCTGATTTCATATGGGTATATATTTTTCTCGGGTGGACACATCATAATCTGGCTGGTGATAAGTCTTCTTGTCCATTTGTTAAGAGTAGCTGGTGATTTTCTTTGTAATGTGACAGACTGTTCCTCTCTGTCATGCATAGCTGTGAAACTTGTATGATGCGGCCATGACCACGTTTGTGTTGGTGAATGAATGCCTCTTTGTTTCATGGAATACCTTATTGCTTTGAGCAGTAGTAGATGTCCTTGTGATTGCGAAGGAAGTGGATGCGAGTCATTAAGGTCCTTCCGACTACATGGTCGTGCTTGCCATTGGACATTCGTGGCTTTAGTTTAGCAATAAGTAGGACTGGATTGTTTATTATGTTTGCTTGGCAGTCTTAGCCTCGTGGCACGCCTAGGTAGCTGGTAGTTCAAGTATGCTGTTTGCGCTTTGTATTTGTGTTGTATATCTTGTCGCTTAGTTTGAATGCGAGGAAGGTGGCTGCTGCCGTCAAGTTCATTGAAGGATGCATGAAAACCCATTTGATGGCAGATGCATATTTTCACTTCAATTGTCTATATGGAGCTCACACTCATTATACTTTTTTAATTATTTAAAATAATAAAACACATTCTGTAGACTTAGTTGCGACAACCCGTGAGTACTATGCTAGTACATTAAGAAAAAAACTAAAAGAATTGAACTTTTCATATTAAGAAAAAAACTAAAAGAATTGAACTTTTCATTATTTATTTGCTATAGCTATTGACCCATTATCATTATTCATTGAAGCCCGAGTTTTTTCTTGGTTTCAATTCCAGCTATAAATTTTTTGATGGGAATGCTTTGCAAGGATTCTTTTGAGAGGTGGTCTGTTGAACAAGTAGTAAGTTGCTTATTTTTTCTTGGTTAATTTCTCTCGTTGATTTTTAGTTACAGACTAGCATAGTATCCGCCGGTTGCTGCATGTAAATCTATTATTTATTATGTTTTACTATTTTAAATAATTAACAACTATAGGAATAAAACAAAAATTAATTAACACTAATTGTGAAATTTTGGTTAATTTAATATGTATTATGCAACATATAAATATATAATTGAGTTTAAATATATCTTAGGACTTTTTTTATTTTGATAAAGAAAAAAATGAAATTAATTATTTATTTTTTAAAAAATCAAATTAGAAAAAGTGCTTAATCAATTTATATTAAAAGAATGTTTAATTTTAGTTAATAGGATGTTTACAAAAATAAAAAAACTAACCATTAATTATGGGAAAAAAATTATTTTGAGTAAGTACTAAATAATAAAAAAATAAAAGCATATAAAAAAAACAACTGGGCTAGGCTGACGCCAAACCCTTCCGTATGGGCCTCGAGAAAACCAAGCCCACACGGTTAGGCTGGAAACTCAACTCAGCGTAAAAAAAAATGCAGGTCTTTTTTGTAATACTAAAATAACCATATTATAACATATACTAAGAGAGAATAATGTTTTACGGTAGCTAAGTCCTTTTGTTGGCGTTTAGTTAGTTTTTTTTCCTTTTTCATCCTTATTTTTTGTCTTGCTTTCATTTTAGTCCTTTTTTATTCTGTTTCTTTAACCTTCTTTCAACCAGTTGTACATGTGGCGGTGATTGGGTTTTTCTTTTCTTTTCTTTTTTTTTTTTCCTATAATGCCAAGAAAAATGACTTATGTATGATGTGGATAATAATTAACCACGTCCATATGTTCTCAATTTTGACATTTGTAATGTTATTGCTACTGTTGCCATAACAAAATTATCCAAATCAAACTTTAGAAATCACCCATTATATTTATAGATCACCCAAATGAAACAAGAAACTTCTTTTTACTTTTAGTGAAATTTTTTGTTGTGTTTTCATCTTTATTTTAATCATTAAAATTTTATTATATTTGATTTTTTATATTAAAATTAAATACAGTTTCGTAATCATAAGTCTTTTATAGTTTTTGGTAAAAATTTTCTTTCTATTTTGGTTCCTATTTTGTGATTTTTTATTAAAATTTTATCATGTTTGATTTTTATTTGTGACTTATGCATCATGAAATTTTTTTTTAATCTGATTATTCATATGTCTTGTTTTGCCCTTTAGTGAAAGTTTTTTTTATTCTTATTTTATGATTTTTATTTTGTTTTTACCATTTAAATTTTGTCGTTTGTAATGTTTGTTCCTATTTTTGCCAAACAAGTTTTGAAATATTTCAATTTCATTCCGATTTGACAAAACTTTTTTTTCCTTTTGTTTTAGGTGGTTTTTTTTATGTCTCATTAATAAACTACAAATTGAGGACATAAGGTAGAAATTAATCATCCAAACTTTAAAAAACTACCAAATTATTATTTTAATTATCATTTATTATACATATTTATAATAAAATGTATATTTTTACCAAACGATATTTAATTAGCAACATTATATTGCTCAATTTTGTAAATTTTTTATTTACCTAACCTTGCAGCAATGCACGAAATATATGTTTCGGTCTTTCTATTTTTTTAATTTTTTTCTTGTGATTTTTTTGAATAATTATCTTTAAATTTGTATTTTATATAGATACACATAAGAATGTTGTATAACTCATCCCGTAATAACGTGCGGGATATGTAATAGTTAGAAGACTAAAATGTAATAAGTTGGATAAGTTGATAAAAAAATCACTTTATATATATATATATATATTTTTTTTTTTTTTTTTTGGGGAAAACTGTGTCATTTTGGACCTAAAAAGCCCAAAATGATGTTGTTTTGGTTTCACTGCAGCAGCGAGACTTAGCTATAGTAAAAAACCATTATGTTTTAATTTTTTCATAATTAATTAAATTTTGTTATGCTGTGTTCAGTGTGATTACAGCTTGCATATGTACTAAGCCTGTTGCTGTATGGCTATTTTTACAGTACATCCATGGGTATGCATGCAACCAACGGGCTCGCGACCAAGATTCAACATGAAAAACCGGGAAAAAACACCGGTGTGATTAATTAATTAACAGTTTTATTTCAATTACATTCTGTCTAAAATAATCGAACTATCCAAGTATGCAGATACATCAATACAAATTCTACCTTCTCTGGAAGTTCAGCCTTCCAATGAAATAAGCAAAAAGGGAAGCAGTGACAATGGGAAAGATGATTAGTACAACACCAACAACACCCAAAAAGTTGTGGTGAAACCCAAAGTAATCTCCTATAAAATCAGCAACGGTCATAGTCTTTCCAAACACTGATATTTCCTTGTTCACATCTCCATATTGTGAGGCGAGCATACCATTTAATGTCCAAGATGAGGAACATATATAATACAAACAAAGCCACCACTTTGGGATATCCTGCAAGACGCAAAAAGCACCATAATTAATAATTTGACCGTATCAGTATTCCCTTTGAAAGTTCCGGAAATAATAGAATGTAGCAGGTTTGTTTTAGATTATGGAAGCTTACTGGTTTCGGTACGATAAACCCAGAGAAAAAGTTCAGCGTTGTGTACGCAAACGCAGCTAGATTGGAGGCCACTTGAATGTTTGGTGTCAATGATATGAGCAGCATTCCTAGGTAGTTGAAAAACAGCAACATACAAAACATGCTATAGAAAGACCAGAATATCTTATAGGCAGACAAGGAGTAACCAATCATAGGATATGTGATGATCACATAAAGAATTGCTTCAATGAGCAAGTAAGGAACTTCAACCAGCACCTGCACAAGAAAAGAAAAACCCCATTAACCAAAGTTGTGAAAAAAAAACTGCAAATTTCTGTGAAATGGAAGAGGCTTATAATCTGATTTCCATTTTAAACATATAGATCCTACTCTAGCATTCTCTTCTAAAATTTAACTTTAAAACCCAAAATAGTCCTTCAATTGATGATGTAAAGGGAACATCCAGTGACTTGCCAGATTTGCTTCATAAGTACATAAAGATTTGAAAGCAAAAATCTGTTGACAGACTTGACTGCAAAGAAACTTAACCTGTGCTAATGAATAGGCCCATGAAGAGTACATTCCTGCAAATCTTTCCCTGTACAAAACAGCCCGCTCTCTTGCAACAAATGGTAGGACTGGAGAGCAGTTGTTTATGCCGAAAAATATTATGATAGAGTACATCGAGCCAGCGATATTGAACAAGTCTTGCTGGTCTTTTCTACGATATTGAGAATAAATTACACGTGTCAATGTTCTTTTCTTAAAAGAGACACTGCTACTAAAGATCAGAAGTATGCACTGGCTTACATTTTATTTCCTTTCTGCCAGAACAGTAGGCCAAACAGGAGGGCTCCAAAGGACATAAAGACGATGCGCAAAAGATTATATGAAGGACTTCTCCAATAAGACAAGTTCTGTTTCCATAAGCATGCTTTCAATTGCTCCCAGCCATTCTGCGGAAAACGAGTAGGAAAATGCAAATCGTTTGAACCTGGAGTCGGTGAACTCAATTGCTTAACCAACTCTTTGTTCTCCCTGCAGTCGGAAGATCAAGAGACTTTCCGTCACTCACAAGTTATAAATGTACTTTCTTAAGGGATTCCAAGCACATACATATGCACACATTTTAGCCAATTTTAAAGTGAAATTTAACTAAGAAGAAAGCATCATCCATGAACTCCAATATTGATTATGAAGACCTTATCACATTCATTGATCTTACTCATATAGGGTGGAGTCTTTGTAAACTTGACCAAAATCAACACCAAGATCAGCCTCTGCAGATTCAGAAGTAACCTCTAACATCCATGTCGCTGGATTGTATTTGTCCTTAATCTTAGGCACCCCAGGAACATTCTACTCAAGATGTCAGGAAAGTAAAATCAAGGTTGGATAATTGAAGTATGTCAGTCACCGGAAGCATTCCATCTAAAAGACAGTGGCATAAGAAACAAAGAACTGCAAAACAACTAACCTCAAAATACTCAATGACCTTGCTTGACCGCTGACCCAGCGGTCCAGAATAGATTATGCGTCCACCAATTTTCATTAGAATCAACTGCATTGAAATAGAGAAATGTTAAGCAATAACACGCTTTTATATCCAATCTGCAGATTTGCACATAAAGAAAACGTGATAGAACCAGCTTCACTATGTCATATTCTAGTTTTACTGTCAACGTTGTCCTTGTACAATGGAAGATAATCTCGCATCAGGTGGTATAAAATAATTGTCAAGAAGAAAATAAAACATGCACGTTATCCTTATTTCACCTCATCAAATGCCTCAAAGATATCTATACTTGGCTGGTGGATGGTACAAACAATTGTTCTTCCTATTTCAACTATGTTCTTCGCTACTCTCATAACAATTGCAGCTGCTCTTGCATCCAAACCTGATGTGGGTTCATCCATGAATATGATTGATGGATTGGCAACAAGTTCCACAGCTACTGTCAGTCGTTTACGCTGCTCAATTGATAAACCACTAATTCCGGGAATGCCTACTAAAGCATCTCTAATCTCATCAAGCTCAATAGTTTCAAGGACTTGGTTTACAAACTCCTGGAAAAGAAGGAAAAAAGGAGTTGAGAGAACTTCACTGCAGTTCACTCTTCAAAATTAAGTTCAGGACAATTATAAATTATGCTTTTAAGAGCATAACATACATATTTAGTTTTCATGTCAATTTCAGGAGGGAGCCGCAACCGAGCAGAATATATCACAGATTCTTCTACAGTAATTTGGGGGGAATGTATGTCGGTTTGTTCGCAGTAACCTGATACTCTAGCGAATGAATCTTGAACCTTTGGGTACCCACCAATTCTAATCTCTCCTTCAATAGTACCTTCAGTTTTCCTCCCAGAAAGAACATCCATAAGAGTTGTTTTCCCGGCTCCACTAACACCCATTAACGCTGTGAGAATGCCAGGTCTGAATGCACCAGTAATGTCTGAAAGAAGCTGGAGTTTCTTCTGAGGAAAACCATGTTTTCTCATTTCCTAACACAAACACAGTGGCATTTGTTTGAAGCCATAAGTTTCTCCTCGTGTTTTATGATCATGCAGAATTCAAAGAAAAACTAGATTCATCTTGATTACCGAAGGAGTATCGACGTAGTACCGCACATCCTTAAATGTCACAGTAAGGGGTTCAAAAGGTAAAACCATCCTTCCTGCAAAATTGATTGGTGGCAGTTGGCACTGCTTTAGAAAGTGGAGGAGACATGTACATTAATAGTACGAAGACAAACCTATTAAATTTTATCTTTTCTATCCTGAAATCAGTGGAAAGATGAGAAAACAATAAGCTCACCCTTTTTAGCTCCTGGACTAGATTTAGGACAAGCACTGGTGAATTTCTTGTCGTTTTCTATGTCGAAAGAAGCACCATCATCTTGTTTTCCTTGCAGTTGATAGTATCTTTTATAAGAAATAATAGCTCGAGAGTTTCCTGGGGCTAAATGTGTACATATATCAATGCTAAGTATATTGTTAGAATGGACGCATCAACAAGTTATTTAAGAGCCTTGCTAATAGAAATAGTCAAATAGAAGATGAACTTACATTTCAAGAAGGTTAAAGCCAAAGCAAAGCCAATGTTGAAGAGCACCGTCAACCCAATTAAAGCCCCGACTGATATCCAGTAAAAATAACCTTGAAAGTTCAATCCACGGCTTTCCAGAGTTTGCTGTTGTATGGTTGTGTTACCAGGCACAGTCTGTGGATACAAATAAAGAGTAAATGATTTTACTGCATGGATGACTAACTACTCTCTTTTTTCAAGTGAAGATAACAGGAAAAACTATCAATCTCCTTCTGGATCTCACAAATAATGTTTAATATGGCAACTTAAATTTGCTGAGCTATCAGTCCCTGCTAGCATTATCAACTAAAAGTAAGTTCGAGCAAAATATTCCATCTCTCTTCCTGATGGTACAGCAGGAGGAGAAAATTTTCCCTCCCAAACTCTAGATTTGACAAAGATAATGGCTGTAGAGATCAGCAGGCCAATACGTACATCATATGCCCCATTTCTGAAAAGTTTCCTTCTGGAATTACTACATGTAAACCTAATGGATGATTCAAGTCTTCAATTTGATCTTTTTCATTGTCCTAAGTCGGCCACGGTAAGTGTTGGATCAGTAGTTGTGTATTACCTTTTCCCATCTAGGAGTAAGAAACTCATTCAGGCTTAAGCCTATTTCACCATATGCCAACGGAGAAATCCAAAATCCCCATTCCAACCAAACAGGCATAGAGGCTGTAACAGAGCAAATAGTTCAGCAAATATTCTGAACAAATTCTAATGCCAGGATTATTAGCAGAGCTACAAGAAATCTTACGCTTTGGGATTATAGATCCACCAAATAGTAAAGCAATCAATAAAGTGAGTCCACCAGCTGTCACTGAAGCAACCATAGTTTGGAAGAGCGAGGCAACACAACGAAACATGGATATTGACGTTGAATGTACCAGAAAGAGTAGAAGGAATTGGCGCAAGAACCTAAGAAACACAACCAGTCGATAAAAAATTAAGAGAGTTATGACATCGAAAGTTCCTAATTGTTCTTCTTTGTAGAAATTAAGAAACAACAACGGCTGTCATTTATCCTTGGAATTATGACAACATTTCCTGCAAAAATATCTTGGTAGTTAGCTTATAGTCTCTCAAATTATAACATTTGCCTCATATTTGTTTGTGTCAGAAATGATGGTAATAACCATTTTGCTCAGCTCCAGCATGAAATCTAAGTTGGATTCACATGTGTGAGGGTGACAGTGATACCCTTGCTCTTGCATTATATTTGTAAACAAGTCATTTTGAATTCAGTCTGATGAAAATTTGTAACTCCTCATCAAAGGCTTACCTTCCAACCTCAGGGCTGTAACCAATAACATAATAAGTAAGAGTTGTCCAAACAAATGCTTCCACAAAAGAAAGTGGAATTTTAAGGATAGCTGCGGGAACAACATAAGCCCAAGCAGGGTAAAAGCATAACTCTCTGTTTGTAAAAAACTGGAAGGCGGGATACAGTCATGTGCAACTCTGGGATTCCATCAGAAAATAATATAGTCATTGCAAAGAATAAAGCGCTCAGGTAATAACTTGCATGGATCGCATCAACAGCCATCCTTGTGCGCAGGAAGACAGTCATTGTTATTGAAGCAATGATCACTAGCTGTAGACAGAGAACCCAGAGATGCTCTCAGATGAGAAGGGACTGCATCAAAACAGATTGTGTATGCTTTTAAAGTCAATGAATATATACCTGTGTACATTTGAACACATAAATGAAAGAATTCCTTTTCATGAGAACAAATTCTCTCATGCTGCAAGCTTTGAACAGTTCCCATTTCGATAATGAGTATTTTCTGAAGCATAAAGCACTCTTGTGGCTTTTAGACTTATCAAATGGCTTCATGATCTCCTCATCCAGCATCTGCCCAAGCTGGCTGGCTTTGAATTTCTTGACAAACTGTTCAACAGAAACATAACTGTGGGGTTGTTCTGTGCTGTACCAATACTGTCCTTGATCTTTTCTAGAGATTACCTGCGGAGAAATTTAATTTGTTAGATAATGGTTTGGTAACGGTTATACATAGAGACAAACCTGAAGCATACAGACTTACCTCTTTAAGGAAGTCTGCAACGCATTTTCTCTCAGGACACCTAAACCCACAGTCCTCGAAGAATTCGTAGACACTAGAACGTGGGCCATGATAAACAATCATTCCTTCTGCCATCAACATGATGTCATCAAAGAGATCAAAGATCTCCGGTGCCGGCTGAAGAAGTGAGATCAACATAGTGGCATCAGTACTATGTGCCAAATGCTGCATACAAGACACAATCTGGAAAGAGGTCGAACTGTCTAAGCCATTTGATATTTCATCCATGAATAGGGCTTTCATTGGACCCACAACCACTTCTCCTGTAACAAACAACCAGGAAATAGTTCATTGAAGCAAATTAAATCATATTCAACCTAAAACACTGGAGAATTGTATACAGTAAGTTTCATACATCATGACACACAGTACCTGTACTTAATCTTTTCTTCTGTCCACCTGAGATACCTCTTCTCATAGCATCCCCAACCATTGTGTCGGCACAAATATCAATTCCAAGAATCTGAAAGATGAATAGCTTGGAAAATATTACTAAGAAACCATATTTCATTAAGCAGCCTGGAGGAAATAAGAACTTAGGCCTTGTAAGTGGAAATATATAGTAAACAACCTTCAAAATGTAGTCTGTTTGAAGGGTACTTTTCACTCCTTCTAATGATATTTCCTGTTAAAAAGAAGAAACCATTACCGTTACAACCATAAAATTTTGATGAGTATCATAGATAAGCATGAAGGAAAAATATAAGCGAAGTTCGAACTGTGGCCAAGCTTGAGTAAGATCATCGAACATGTCATTCATGTTGAATTATCTCAAAATGCCTACACTGAGAAAATAACTTCTGCAACATGTAGGTGAAACTTGTGTATATGGCTAATAAAATCTTATATATGCTTTGTGTCTGTTTCCTTCATATAAGTATCTAAATCAGTATCTGGGAGTATCCCTGCTTGCTTTTCCTTTCTACTGATTTCCATCAATATCTCTTTTGTGCAAGAACAATTTAGTTAATATTTACTATGATATAGTGTAATGAAATTAACTTGAGAGTGACTTAGATTATCAGAATCAGCACTGGTGTTGCCAAAGAATTCTTACCAGCTCGGCTTCCTATGCCCTGACAGCGTGCAGAAAAATCAACCGTCTCCCTCACTGTCATCTCTGGTATATGCATATCATATTGGCTTACATAAGCTGCAGTTTTCTGAATAACAAACTCTTCCAATCTGTGACCATTATAAGATATTTCCCCTCCAACCTATATAAGAACACAAAAGACAGTAAACTGGATGAATAGTTTGGGAAAGCTTATCTGCAATAAAAGCTTGCAAAAAAAGAGAGTCAAGTATGAATCAACAGAATCATCCTGAATTTTAGTGCATATACTCTGTAAATAAATTTTGGTAAACAAAACTCAGCTGAATTACATCTTTGTGAACACTGAATTTGTTTACAGAATTTAAGTACTTATCCAGCTTTCAGTACTAAAAATTTCTCTTAATTAGGATTCTGAAGCAATGTAATTTCCATCAAATGAAGGATTTTTTTTTCTTTTGCATCACATGAATGTCATTTGGAAGCATTAAGAAACCTTGAGAGAATTGCCAGGTTTCCCAGAGAGAGCTTTCAAAAAAGTGGTTTTGCCAGATCCTGGAGGGCCCAGCAGTAAAGTCATCCTGCAAGAAGATAAACAGAAGTGAACTTGAAATATAATAATACATTCTGTACTCTTATTGCTTGTTTCAACATGAAAATGAAGCAGACTGACATAAACACAGACATATATCCCTCTGAATACTAGAAGTTGCATGGCAGAGATTTATAGGAATCTGATCAACATTCTCAAAAAATTGAAGATGTAAGATATCAGCATGTACTGGCAATCTCAACGACAAATAATGGGGTCCATGCAATAATGTCAGGGAGAAATCCTTTTAAGTCTTCTAGTCATCACTATCTTGTATTTTTCTCCAATTCAAAGGAAATAGGGCCGGAATCATAACAGAAATTTCTTTGGTCACCACTTTGTTGGTTTAGTCAGAAGGATGAGACAAGATATACAAGTGTACGTGTTAAATGATCGAGTAGTTAAAAAGAGAAAAAACTTCAGCATGTTCGAAGGCTACCTTCCTGGCTTAATAATGCCGCTGACATCTTTTAGGACGCTGATCTTTGTTCTTTGTTTCGAACCCAACAGATTGGCAAACCCCTGTCAGAAACAGAAAACTCAAGGATCAAGCAGTTTACAAATGGAAGAGAAACAACTTGAAAATGTTTTATTTCTACAGTTTTCTAGACTCAAATAGCATAGATTCGTATTGTTTGAATTATAATGTTTAACATTCATAGAGTTGTAGTCGCTTTCTATTGACAATCATTGCAAGAAAATTTTTTTTAACTTTTAGAGTTCAAAAAAATCTAATTGTTGCAACAAATAAATAAAGACCGCTGGACATCAACTTATTCCCATCATACGCAGGAACTCACAGAGAGAATGCTCTTAGCAGTGCTCCACAAAGTGGAAAGAGGCTTGCCACGAACTACCTCGCAGTCTGCTTCAACACAAAGATTTCTGTACTTCACTTCTACGGTGGGCAAATGTACACCAACTCTGAAAAACAAATTAGAACCAAATCAACAAACCATTTTCTTGAATGCCTTAATCAACAAACACGAAATCATACCACAGAGATGTAAACACGCATTAAAGATGCAGGCATTGGCGATATGCCATACACATACAAGGAATCGCATTTACATGATTTGCTAAATGCAGCAACGTTTCCGATTGTTTTTCAGACTATCTGCATATGTTTAGATAAGCTAGCATGTAAAGGGGCGGTTAATTACTTGTCAATTCTTTTCCTAAGTTTCTGCAGCAATAGGAGATTATCATTTTCAACGTGCTTGATGAGCTTTTCAATGAACATATGCCGTTCTTGAGCTTGAAGTTTGGCAACATTAAAAACTTTTTTCCCCATAGCATCTCCTTTTCCATTTCTGCCATCTTGTTCCTCCATTAAAGCAGTAGTAATCCGTTCAAGAGTTGGCAATCTCTCAATAGTAGCCCAATATTGCAATGCATCTTCATCATTTTCATTTCTAAGCTGATTGGCGTTCCCAGTTGAAATGCTATGAAAACTAGGCTCATGACTTCGGAATGAGGTTCTTATGCTTCCTCCAAACTCTGCTGAATCAATCCTTTGACTCTGTCCCATCAGAGTCTGCCACCTGAGCCATTATTGTCTAAATTTGAATGCTTCAAATTGTTGAGTTATTAGAAAACAATCAAGATAATCAGGATGGAGTTAGGCGCACGTGAGTGTGAGTATATAATATTTTGTTACAATTTACAAGTAATGCAAGCCGACACAGATTCACGCTCAAGCAAAGCAAATAACTGCCATGCTATTTATAAACACATAATATATGCGATTAAGTGGAGCATCTTATGCTGCAGGCCTGGGATCACAAACACAGTTCAACACTCGAATATTCTCCCGCAAGTGCCAATAATTAATTATGAAGTTGTGAGTGCAGGATGAATTGGAAACCGAAAGCATCGTTAAATCACAAATGCAAGATGGCGGATTCCATTTCTATATATATAGATTCGAAGATTGTCTTTCTTAATTCAACAAAGCAAATCTATGGGATGTGAACATTTTGCCATCATCTTATAAAGTAAGTTTTGGAAATGAAATCATTGTGAAAAGGACTTCGAAAAAACATAATACCTGCATCATGGGATTCTATACTTTGGACTTATGTCGTAACGAAAAAACGATAACTACAACCATCAAGACTGAGACTGATAGATTATAGTTGAAAATATCCCTTTCTTGTCACAACTGTAATTAATATATATATACAAAATTACCAGTAATAATACTCCAGGTACGTACTACTTATAGTTTTGTCAAATTGTTTAGTGAAACAATGCTTCCTAGATGGTAAAAATTATCGATCTGTCAGCAACATTTAGCTAAATGAACAAATTAAACAACAACAACAATAATATATGATTGTTTCATATATATGTTTTATTAACGGAAACTCTTAAGTAATTAATGAAAGGAAAATTTTCTGATCACTCGGAAAAATTTATGTTGGGTATCTGCAGATTTATGAGTAAAAATTAAAGTCTATAGAAATCAAATTATACAATTCTAGCTAGTGTTGTGAAATTCTAACAAGAGCATTATCTAGTAAAATATTGTTTAGACTTGACAGCATCTCATTACCTAAAAACCTAAAACATCTGGGATATAGTAACAGTAATTCACTGTTCATTTTGGTTTCTAAAAATTTAAAATAAAAATTTTAATCCTCTAACTTATGCACTACGCATGTCTTTTCTTTTTTCTTTTTTTTTTCCATTGGTTTTTTTCTTTGCTTTTTCTCATTAATTTATGTTCTTTTTTTATTTAATTGAGTGTTAAAATTTTGAAAAATCAATTTTTTCTTTGCTTTTTTTTATCAATTTATGCTCTTTTTTTTTTAATTGGGTGTTAAAATTTTGAAAGATCAATCATAACTTTTTTTCGCACAAACCGACGATTATATAATATATCTTTTTATATTTTACAATTAACATATGCTTCGACTTATATTACTCTTATTATTTAAATTTTATTTTTTGAATTTATCATTTTCTTTTTGAAAATTCTCATCCAATGAATTTTTTTATATAAAATTTTATTTACTGATATAATATAATTTATTTTTCTCTTTGTTTGAATTTTAGAATAAAATTTTAAAACATGATTGTTTTTTCTTTTTTAAAAAATAAATTGGTATAATATGTATCATGAATTCTTAGAATTTTTAAATGATAGTTGCATATATATATATATATATATATATATATATATATATATATATATATATATATATATATATATATATTATTTTAAAAGCTTAAAAGTATATTTCAAATAATTTATCTCGGTTCACTAGATATGGTCAAAACATATAAAAAATTTATTGAATCATTGATTTTATTAAAAATTAATTATACATCTTCCAACATAATACAAATTATTTACTATAAATATTTTTTAATATTATAGAACCAATTTATTTGGAATAAAATAATTAAAATATTTTTTTATAGAAACTAACCAATTATTCAAATACTAGTTTTTATGCTAATTTTATTGATTATTTTGTACATAGATATATATAGATCAAATGCATATACTTGGAAAAAAAAATTCTTCTCACTAACATTAAATAAGAATAAAATTTTATTTTTTCATTGGTTAATTTTTATGCAAGCCTATACATTAATTGTAACTTTATTTTTTACATACATTCTTATAAAAAAATATAATTTTTGTTTTTGTTTTTTGAATTCTTAATTAACATTTTAGGTTTGAATTATTAAAAGTTTTTATTTAAGAATCCCTAAATAATGAAGAATAAATCATTTTTTTAAGTAGAAACTTTATGAAAAACCCACAAAAAATAGTAATAATTAAATAAAAAATTAATTAAAAAATTATAATATTTTGAAATGATTTTATTCTATTTACCCGTAGCATTGCGTGGATAATTTCAAAAAATAATCTTCTCATCAACATTAAATAAGAATTTTTTTCATTTATTAATTTTTGTAAAAGTTTGTCCATTAATTATAAATTTATTTTTTGGAATACAATATTATGAAGATTATATTTCAAAATTTTTTTTAATTCCTGATTAATATTTTAGTTAAAATTATTACAATTTTAATTTTAAAATCAATTCATAAAGAAGAATGATTTATTTTTTTTAAGCAAAAAACGTATAAAACATTGAAAAAAATTAATTAAATAAAATATTATAATTAAAAAATTTTAAAATAATTTTATTCTATCGGATTCGTGGCGTAGCACGGGCAACCAACAAGTATATATCTATATACCGAGACAAAATAAGTTTTTTTTATTGTTGAATCTTTTTTTCCAATCTCACCATCATTTGCTATTTCGCCTTCTTATGAATTAGTGGATTCCAAACATAAAATCTTACATCTCATAGAGGTTGAACATGATTTTTTTTTCTAATCTAGAGTGTTAATGAGTAGGATACATACTAGATTATAGTAGATTCAAATTTAATTTTTTTTAATAAAAGGATCAAATTGGATTTTATAAATTTTAATTCAAGTTTTGCAATTGTCAATCTGAATTTAGATCCTAAAGAGTTTGGATTGGATTTAAATATTCATCGGATTTATCATTTAATTTTTTTAAAAAAAGTGTTGGCTACATTTAAAATTATGCTTTAATGTAAAAAAATTTCAACTGATACATGTGTAAGAAAATATATTATGATATCATATAATATGTTATTTTAAATATTAAAAAAATCCAAATATCTCGCCATTAATAAAAAGAATAAATCAAATAATCTAAAAAAATTATATTAAAAGTCAAAATTAATTTAAATTAGGTAAGAAGTATGATAAAATTTAAAAACAAGACAAGCACAACTTGATTGATATGAAAGAAAATCAGAATGTTTTACAAATAAAAAGTTTGGAACGGATAAAAATTCAGATTGGATCATTATTTTATAAATTAAAAACACAAGTATAATACTAGCAATTGTCGTTAATTAAAATTTTTTATACGTTTATAGGATTTTTTATAAAATTTATTTGAGACTCGAAAGAGAATGAAAAAAAAAAAAAAAACATTCTCATGTAATTGTTTAAAAGAATAGGTGTCAATATAGGGGAAAAAAATATAGAAAGTTTCACTAAACATTTTTTATCATTTAGAGCAAATAAACTCTAGATCTAACTGTAGTTCCATATTTTTCTTAATTTTTTTATAATCTTAACATATTATATTTATTTTAAAATAATATTAATTTTTAGAATATTTAATAGTTCCTGGTTAGAGGGGGTGAAGAGAGAAATCAAAATCGAAAAAAAAAAAAGAAAAAAAAAGGGGAGGGATGTTTTCAACTTCAAAGGTAATTCCTACTCAGGTGCCCAAAGGATTAAATAATTTATTGTCAAATCATTTTCAGGGGTGAAAAAGAAACAATGCTAGGCAATTATGATTGCGAGATAATTCCTACTGGGTATTCCGTCTGGACTTGCTCAACTGATTAGGGCTTCCAAATAAAAATAATAAACCTAGCAAATTAATCATGTCTAGCCCATGGGCCGACTAAAGGACTCATTGCCTTTGTTTGTAGCGGAGGGTTCGGTGTCTTTGCAATAATAATAATTTGCTTTCTGTGATTTATGTGTTATCTGAATTTCTTAAAATTTTTAATTTATTATAATAACCTTTCTTTTATATTCCATTTTATCCCTTAATGCTATCATGTGAAATAGCATTTATTTAATACCTTTATTTTTTTATTTATCTCAAAGATTACGACGAACAACTTATGTACAAAAGTTAGATCCAAATCATGAATATTCTAATTTTAGTTGCAACTGGTCACACACCAGAGCTACATTGCAAATCGAGTAGGAAAAAATCATTTTAAACTTTTAAAATTTTTTAATTAAAAATTTTTTAAATTAATTATTTAATTTTTTAATAAATTTTTTGTTTAAAAAACGTAAATCATCCTCATTATGGATCGATTTTAAAATAAAAGATATAATACCTTTAATTAAAATATTAATAAAGAATTAAAAAAAACTCTAAAAATATAATTTTCATAATATTTTATTTCAAAAAATAAAGTTATAATTAATGAATTGACTTTTATAAAAATTAACTAATAAAAAAAAACATAAATTGATGAAAAAAAGCAAAAGAAAAAAAAGACACGTGTAGTGTATCGATTACGGGATTAAAATTTTATTTTACAATTTTAAAGGTCAAAACGAAATAACTTGAAAATTAAAAAAATTAAAGAGCCTAGATTGATGGAAAATAGCAAAAAAAAAAAAAAAAAAAGCATGTATAATGAAACAATTTGAAATTATTTTTTTAATATTTTTTTATAAATTTTATGTTTAAAAAACATAAATCATTCTTCTTTATGGATTGATTTTAAAATAAAAAATGTAATAATTTTAACTAAAATATTAATCAAGAATTAAAAAAAATTTAAAAATATAATTTTCATAATATTGTATTCCAAAAAATAAAGTTATAATTAATAGAGAAACTTTTACAAAAATTAACAAATAAAAAAAATAAATTGATGAAAAAAAATAAAGGAAAAAAAAGTAAAGTAAAACAACTTAAAAAAAAAAACT